ATATATATATATAATGTAAATGAGGTACCATGATATAATTTCAAAAATCGAAAAGATGTCAAAATTTGGAAAAGTTCGGGAATTCCTGTTTTCATTTTTTACACCAATTAAAGACCTTCAAATATTCAAGTATTCGGGACTCGACCTTCAATATACTATTAAAAATTTTCTGGCAATAAAGGCTTATTATACAGGTAGTAAGATTTTACTATAATCAACACAGCATTATAGGGGATTGATTAAAAACTTTATATGGTTTGAAAACTTTTTAATTTCGAAAGAAACTAAATTTGATTCTAATTTATACATAATATAACAGTTTCAAGAATTAGATATTTAAGTACAGTAATTTCAGGTAGATAGGCCGCGACCTATATGTGTTTAAAAGTATTGCTGTCACGATGTGCGGCTTGTGTGCCGATGTGGCCTATATGCTAATTTTTCGATCTCCGTGGATTAATTCAAAAACATATGTTTTTTTAGAGTCCCCTTGCCGTCAGGCTAATCGTGGGAGGTTCTTGTGGTCTTCCTCTCCATGTAACGCAAATGCGGGTTAGCTCCATCAAAAAGTCCTCCACGAAGGCAAATTTCTCCCAATACTCGATCCAGGAGTTCCCTTGTCTTCTGGATTGGGTTCAAAATTACAAGACTACGGAGTTGAACATTAGCGGTTGTAAATCCATAAGATTGGGTCGGCTGTTCAACGACGGTTATAAAAAAATAAATAAAAAACATATGTTTACCGAAAATTTTCCGAAATTGCGAACCTATATCGTAATGTTTGCTTTGAAAACGCTTTTCTTTCTTATTCCCCCCCCCCATTAAAATATAGTTTGATTAAAGAAGTTTTCGTTTGAGGAAAAACCGCATGACGTCATCGACAAATGGTGTAACAAATTCCCATTTGTAACTTAATAATTAAACTTAGTACGCTTTATTTTTAACTATCTTCTACTCATCTATATTTTCTTTATAAACATTTTATTTTGAAATTGTCACAAAACTAGTACACATTCTTAACTTACGATATTGATTGGTTATACTTGTTTCTTCTGTAAGTAAGTATCATTTTCAATTCTTTATTTTTATAATATGAGTATATATATATATATTTTTTTTATCAATAACTGTTTTCTAAGTACAGAGTTTACGTTTTAAAGATTATTATTTTGTATAACGGTTTAGTTCACGTTTTAAAGATTATTGGCTAGTGTATCCACCGGAAATTACTGTATTAAATACTAATTTTAAAAGTAAATGAAATAAGGAAATTCATACTTGTTCATCACAATCTGATTCTAAGTATCCACCAGTAGATGCCATACTGTTGGCAAAAGGATGATCATCTGAGTCATTCAAACATTCACAGGCAGATTTTTGAATTAAACTTACAAGATCAATCTAAAAATAAGAAGAAAAAAAACATTCATGAAATAATAATGATAATTTTATAATAAAATATGTTTTTAAAATAAGTCATTCCAAATATGAAAATAATATAAATTTCAAAATTCATAGTGATAATGTTAAAGAATATAAAAATTAAAACAAGGTGAATTTGAGAAGACATTTTAAATGAATGACATTGAAAAATTTGGCATCCTCTTTCACAAAATTATCTATTGTTTTGGGGGAATTTCTTTCACAGGCAATTGCAATGGTTTAGCGAAATAAAAAATAATATAACTTTTAAAATCAATCAGCCAAGAAAGATAGCATCGAAAAACAGGAGTAAATTAACCCTTTTTAGAATAAACTTTACATTTCCTGTCTTAAAAATAAAAATGTTAATCAAAAATCACGAAATTTCCAAGGACTTTCTAAGATCACTCATTAGTACTTTTTAAGATTTAAGATCTTCAAAACAATATAAAAAATGCGAAAAAACGAAGAATTTTCAAAGACAAATGAACCTTGACAAAGAAGGTAAAATAAATATTTAAGAATTTAAATTTTAGAAATTTATACAACTTGAATAATTATGATTAGTTCAAAACATTTAATTTATTACATGATAACAAGCTAACCACATCTTACAAACTTTGATTTTCTATTTTTTAGAGTATTTAGCATGGTTTTGGATTAGAATATTCTGAAATTATATAAGTAATTATGAAAATGGTCAAAAATACAGAAATATTTATGAGGTAATCTTCTGAGTTCCATTTGCAAGGTAAATTACTACTTTCTTTTTTTGAAATTTTTATTATGATATTAATACTGGAAATAATAACAATATAATTTTTTTATAAAAAAAAATCGAAGATTTATGTTTACTTTCTTGCTATTCAATTAAAAAATATGGGCACTTATGATATATGCTTAACCATTATATAGAGAATCTAGAAAAAATGTAAAAAGAATAAATACATGTCCCTGGACAGTTGATTCTGATCCTTCTTCTCCATCTCCACTACTCAATTCTTTAATCTTTGCTTCTAATGCTGAAACATCAGCACCTTTAACTTGACTTAGTTTCATTTTATTTCTGTAAAAAATAAAAGTAGGCATTGCAGTAACACCTTGAGAAGAAGCTGTTTCAGGACACTGATCAACATCAACTTTAAGAAATACAATATTAGGATAGCGCCGACTCATATCTTCAAAAGCAGGAGCAATCCGATGACAAGGTCCGCACCTGAAAGAAATACACCATAGGATAATATGTTATATGAATATTGATGTAATATACCATATAAGCTATTGATTTCAGAACAATTCATTATCTAAAATCAAATTTACTTACTAACAGATTTTCTATACAGTGGCTATATTTATATCAATAATTCTATGCTTATAGTGCTGTAAATACAATTGTGGATAATTGCATATTGGCACCGGTTTGCACAAACTACAGTTACCAAGATGCTAAAAAGTTTCATATCATAGAAAAATTTAAAAAAAAAAGTGGTTGCAAGTTGGTTCCCTTGAAAAATGTCTTTTTTTTTTTCTTTCTTTTTCTAGCCTCTCACATGTTACTGGGCAGTCATCATATCACTGAAATTTTTAGCAAAGTTATTTTTTAAAAAAAAAATTTTGAGGATTTTTTCGCACTATGATCAGTGGCACTAAATGCAAGATTGATTCTGAAATTGAATTTTCTTTAAAATATTAATATGTTGAAGCTATCTTGGAGAAAATGTTTAGTCTAATTGCAAAAAAATAGCTTAAAATTTTTTGTCACCTTACAAAATTTTTCTCTATAAAAAAATACAGTGTACAACAAATAAGATATAAAAAATATAGAAAAGTAAATTGTCATATAAATATTAAAATATACATTTTTGAAGTTTAAAAATTTTTTTTTTTCATTTTTAATTTTACTTCTTTGCACTTTTGCTGCCAAGACTTGGTAATCATTTTGGCAAAAACCACAATACGGAAATTTTCCTGCTTTTCAGTTGGCAATAAAGACACTGATATGAAAATAACACTTAGCATTATAACGTTGTTTTCCACAAAGACTGTAATAAAGTTTTAGAATTCAGTTCTATTGAAATTCAAAGGGATGTTTCCATATCTTGATCTGTGGGGCCAACTATAATCGCCAAGGTGTCAAATAGATTTTAAACTTGCAAATTGCTTTAAAAAACAAAAAGATGCAGATATTTGCCCAGGGCTGACTACGAGTTATACCTTTAGAGTTGGTCCCTTTCTGAGATGTTTTTCTTTGTTTCTCATGGCTCCTGCCTGGAAGTGGCCAAGACTTGGCGATTATTCTGCCACAGAACACATTACGAAAATCTCCCCTCTGTTCTTGCTAATTATCTAAGTCTTACATATTGATTTGAATGGCACATGATCAAAAGGAGGATCTGATTTTTACATATGTGTGTTTACAAACAAATACTGAAAAAACTAAGCCATTTCTAAAAATTGTACTTTGACAGGTTAAAATGTACTCATATTTGATAATGAAAAAATGAAAGAAGATAAATTAATTACAGTTTGGACACAAATTAAAGCTTTAAATAATTTAAGCTTGATGTTTTCGTCAGGAACAGATATCTCAGTGTAACATATAAAATATATATATATATATACAAAAGAAATTCAAATGATTAAGTTTCAAACTGTTTATATAAGGATTAATTTATCAGCTAGCCATGAAATCAACGACAACTAGTTTAGTACCTGCATTAGTATGTTCGAATTATAAGTAAACCAAAATAATCAATTAGTAAGTAAACCAAAAAGAACATAAATTAATAACAGTCTGGATATAAACAAAAGATTTATTTAGTTAAAGCTTGATGTTTTCGTTAGGAATAGATATCTCAGTATTACATATAAAATATCATGGCATTGATGTCAATATACAAAGAAGAAATTCAAGTGATTAAGTGAAAAACTGTTTAGATTATGATTAATTTACCAGCTAGCCATGAAATCGACGACAACTAGTTTAGTACCAGCATTAGTAAGTTCGACTTGGAACCGTGAATCATCAGGAACTACAGTAGGCATTATGATCACAAAGCTTGATCCAGGTGAATTACAAGATTGCCGATAAGTAATAAGGCGCAATTAATATTTTAATAACAAAACTTTTGTTTGTTGTGTCTGCAATTCATCAGAAATCAAATTTTGCAGTGTAATAGTTGCAGTTACGAGTACGAAAAAAAAATAACCGCATACTCTTTTTTTAACAGTTAACAAAAATTTCAATAATATTAGTAATTTCAAACTAATTTAATTTACTTTATTGATTTAAATTGATCATAAGAATTATTTGGAAGGAAACATGTTTCATTTAACAAAAATGCAGAACAAATGTAAAAATAAAGAAAGCGTTAAATACAGTGGTTATTTTAAAGATTAATTTTATTCATTGGCTAATAATATATTCTGCTACGGAAACCAACCAATAAGAAGTTGGCAATTGCATAATTATATAGCTCATTTTAAAGAGAAAATGCTAAAATCAAAACAAACAACTGAATTTTTTTATTCTTTTTATGTTTTATGAAAGAAAATTCTTTCGGGAAAATTATTGCATTATTTAGCTTGAGAGCACTTAAATATTGTATGGGCGTACACTTGCAGTGAATATACACGTGAAGACTTTAAAGTGTTTTATTTCTGAACATTATTTTCTAGTTGTCTCACCGAAAATTATCTTTTAATATAACAATGTGGAATTGTCATAAATGTGGAAAACCTGTGTTTTTCGGTATATATAAATTTGTATAATATTGTAATGCATCTGTACAACTTTGCTTTAATTGTAATAAAACTAATTAGATTTATAAATATTACATAAATTTGGATTTTTAATTACATCTGTATGATATCAGGACGTCCGGTAATATTTAGGTTTTCTAGTCATTAATTGATTCCTTGTAGTTTTTATTCAGTGAAAATGAATGTTAATTGGAATGTGCGACTATTTATTTGTTCCCGTTAATTTTCTAATTATGTTCTTACGTTTGTTAAATCAAATAATCTTCTATTGTATTTTTTTAAAGTTATTTAATATAAAAATAAATCAAAGCAGTCGTTAACGACGATATTTCTATATCGTAATCTATTCGTGTGAACAGCAATTGTTAAAGCGTTTTAAGGAATTTTAAATTTCACAAATATTTTTAAGAAAATGTTTAGCCGTAATAATTTACCTTGAGGTGGCTAACTTTATCCATACCTTTTCAGTTAGTGATGTTTTTGGGAAGATTTCCATATTGTGATCTGTGGTTGAATAAACGCCCAAGTCTTGTCGATTTCTAAACAGAGACCTGCACGAAACGTAATTGACAGGACCAACTCATACCCACCCTCAGGCAGACCCCTATATTTAAAAAAAAAGCAATTGCAAGTTTGAAATCAATTCTGGTGACAGCTCACGATCAGGGTTGATGCCGTATTTACCATGTGAGGTTGTAACCTATATTTACCATGGTTTTTTTCTAACCTCCAAAAATTTTCTTATTGTTTCTGTTATTTCTGTGAACATCATAAAGGTATACAGTAAGGCAGTTATAAAAGAAGGAATTTGGAACATTGTTAAAATTGTCTTGTACTAAACATTGATTAACTTTTACTAATATTCAGCCAAATCACTATTCGTTACATCATATCACATGTCTAAAGGCATGTTACTTGCTAATAAATATGTATATAAATATATATTATCAAATAATTCTTAATATTAGCTTTATTATGGAAATAATATGTATATATTCCTATCAGTTTTAAATAACAAGCCACTATATCTGTAAAGAAATAGACGTAGGTTAATAGTTATTGCCCGGTTTTTTCCATGGTTTTAACCAGTAAAAACCTAGTTTTTACTTTGTCCTTGTAAAAACTGGTTTTTTTCTGAAAAGAGGGCATATTTAAATGTGATGATCAACGTTGTTATCGAGAAAAAATCAGTTTTTACCAGGAAAGAGTAAAAACTAGGTTTTTTCCTGATAAGAACCTCAATCATCGCATGTAAATATGCCCTGTTTTTCATTTGTCACTTCCCAGAAATTGTCAACTTGACTATTATTTTAAGGCAGGTATCACTGTGGAAAAGTTACCAATAACACACAATTTGTAGCCACTCCCTCACAAAATAGTATAACTTGTAGCTACCTCAAGTGTGAAATTTTATTTATTTTTAAACTGTTCATTAATATAGTTATTTTTATAAATAGCTGAAAGGAAAACATCATTGGGATATGAGTGGCACCCTGAGTGCTTACGTTGCGAAGAATGTGGTAAGAGATTAAATCCTGGACAGCATGCAGAGGTAAGATTAAAAACTTTTTACTTTAGACTATTCTTATTGTTCTTCCTAAGCATTTTTAGGAGGATGGTTTGTCGTGCCTGCCCTTTGATCCCTCTAAATGTGCCTTCTTTGCCCTTTTAGTGAAAATAGCCACCATCCCTTAAAAACACTCCCTTTTTATTTTATTTTTTCAGGACTTTGTGATTATAGGGATTATATCCGATTAACAATTCAATAATTAATGAAAATTTAACAGGGAGCATTCACTAAATGACCTGTGTAATATGATTTTATTTAAGCGCTTATTATCTGTCTAATCTGAAACACAACTTTATCAATTTGGTTCTATCAAGTATATTAATTTAATGAAAAAGAAAGCTCTTTATTGTGTAACCTTTGAAGAAGCAAAAATTGTGCTATGAAAGATAGAAATTAACCACATAAAATTGTGGATACTCTTGAAAAATTGCTTTAAAAAAATTATTTCTAATAAAAAACTTTTTTCTTTTTTTAATAATTGTAAAATTATATAAATTCTTTTGCAAGTCTTAAATGCATCTAATTTTAAATAACTTTTGAGAACTTTCACAAGTATTGAATACATTTGATTTTTATTTAATAAATCTGTTCATTTTATTAAATGCTAACCAAAAAAGCAATTTAAAAAATCTTTGCCCTTTGGAAATAAATTACACGTAATAAAAGTTTACTTACACTCTAAAAAAGTTAAGAAACTTTTCATTTAATTTCCATCTTGTTAGTTGGATCCTGTTTCTAAATGAAATCTTTTTAACTGATTTTTTGATATCTGTATAAAAAACTCTAACTAAATTGTTTATTGTGGTATCTGGGTATAAATAGTTTAAACTGTAAATGGTTTTCTGAAGTGCTCTTTTTTAAACTTCAAATGGGTCCCCTTTTTAAGGTCCTCTTTTCCCCTTTGGCTAAAATATGTTAGGATGCCTGTAATTTACTTGTAATGGTCATTAGCCTCTAAATAATTTTCTCAATTTTGTTTTTTTTATGCTATACATCAATTCAATTATAATTTAAATATTGTATTTTAGTTTTTCTTTTTTTTAACTCAAAAATGTAATTATATTGTAACATATGCATTTGTTTTGCAGCACAAAGGTGTTCCATACTGCCACATTCCTTGCTATAGTGTGCTGTTCGGTCCTACTTTATTTGGCCATGGATCCCAAGTTGAAGCTCATACAAGTTTTGGTAAAATTGAAAATCGTCAAGGAACTCAAGTTCCCAGGTATTATTATCTCCTTAGATATCTGTACAATCATTTTTACTGGGCTTCATAACTATGTTTCTAAATCTTCCGTGATATCTTAAATAAATTTTCTAATCCTGAGTTTAAAAAAAAAGCCTTATGTTCCAGCTTGTGATTAAGTTCTCGAGAATAATTACATACGGCACTCATTAATTTAATAATTATTATTTCATTGGTTTCATTGCAACTAATAATTTCAAATTGCAGAAAAAAATATTGAAAAATCTTATCATAAATACCAGGGCTGTGCAATCAGAGTTAGGCATATTTTTGGATAAAAGGAGTTGGAGCTGGATTCCTAAAGGTGTTGACTCCAACTCTAGTTTTTGTTGGACAGCTTGAATTTAAATTGAGATTAAAGTGAAATGAAAAAAAATTAATGACAAACTGAGTTGTTATCCTTATTTATGGGCTTTATACATTAATAAATCTTTACTTAGTTTAATAATCAATCTTTAGTTTAGTTATTTTTCTATTTTATTGACAGATTAATTAATAAATATAAAGAAGAAAGAGGGAAGTGATATTTGTGATACCATTGAAGAAATATAATATTGCTACACGTACAAGACTCTTCTTTAAGAAATTATGCAAATTTATCCTGAAAAATTAAAAGAAGTAGCTCTAACAGTTACAGCTTTTCCTCCTACTTAAGTTAGTGTAGAGGGACTATTCTCATCTTTGAAGTTTATCATGTTGAATATATGATCCTCTGTCAAAGAAGATCTTGCCTGTTTCTTTGAAATTACTAATGCCAGATAATAATTTTGATTTCATAAATGTAGATTAATATAAATAATCTACTTATAGCATCATTTTTTAGTTCAGTGGCATCTATAATTTTATTTAAAAAAAAAAAAACTGTGACGCATGTGTATTGGTTTTCATATATATGAGGGAGTCAGTCTTTAAGTTTAAAATTTCAGGAGTCTGTCATCTTCCCTATTGACTCCACAGCCTTATAATACCCCACCTCTTACTTGCTTATAGTAACAGGTGGGATTTTAACCATAATTCTTATCAGTTTAGTGTTCCATAAATGATGCAAATTAAATCCTATAGAATAGACTTTAAGCTCTTCTTTTTTCTATTTCTAGAAAAAAAACTTTTTTTTAAATGCAAAATAAGGCAAATTTCAGCAAAATTTTTGTCAGGAACATATGGCTTGGAGAGTTAAAAGAAGACAAAAGACATGTTTGAATTCAAGTAATAAAAATTATGCCAATAAAGCATTGCTTATATGCAAAATTTTAAAATTAGTACTTTTTATTCAAAAAATTCAATTTTTCTAATATATTTTTAATTTTATTGTAGATCTCATTTGGAAGCAAAGCTACGCTTATACAATAGCTATTTTGAAGGAAAGAGTGGAACAATTCAAAGCAGAGAGGTATTACTTATCTTTTTTTTTAATTGCTTTTAATTACCCCTTGAGTAGAAATGCTTTCTTTCATAGAATCAATATTTTCTCACAAATCTGCAGTTATACTGTTCTTAAGAATGTCACATTTTAAAGTTGACAATTTAAAGTTTTATATAGATAATTATAATTGTTTTTCTGTTATTAGTTTTGATTTTACAGGTTATATTTAGACTAGTTTAAATCAATTAAGAAACACTGTTGATTTTTGATAATATTAATATTATAAAATTTTAAAATAATTCTATCAAACAATCTTTTTTTCTTTTAACATGTTTCATGTATTCATTATGGTAAAGATTTTAATTTTAGCAATTAAAATTTCAATAATTTGCTTAGTATGCTTAAAAATGCTTATAAATTTTCTTGTTCCTTTAATATGTATGTGATTTGTACCATAATTTTGCAGAAATACGCCACACCCATGAAATTTGACTAAAAGGGTAAGGTTTTTCATCAGAAAGGTCGCATGATCAATACGCCACACAAAATTTTATTGTGTGTAATTTTACTCTGTGGGTTTATCGCATCTGTTTTGAAAAACAAGTTATATGCGACATAAATGATTGAATATTTAAAGTTCTTAAAAATAATTATTGAATATGTGATAAATTAATCTATGCAATCTTATTTAAAATCAGTAATTATGTATTTTGATAATTTTCTTCATAACTTTTCAAATGTACGCAAAATTATATCATGTACATTTATGCACAATTCAAATGCAAAAAAATCGATAAAGCATTTCATTAATAAATATCAATTTAAAATACTGAATCATGTGGAAACCAAGTGATCAAGAACCTAAATATAATAAAAAAAATAAGTGAGTAAGCAATTAGTAACAGAAGTATTGATTTGTCAGTAACTGAAAATAAAAGTTCCTGGTATGCTTATATTAATTTTTGCTAAAATTTATGTTTTTTCATTTCATTCCATTCTAGTATTTTTTATGAGTAATGATAAAAAGCTGGATTGCTTGAAAATAATTCATTCAATGTACTGTAGGGAACCGATTATCCGAAACGATCGGGACCATTGCTATTCCAGATGATAACTGATTTTTCCGATTTTCTGAATCGCTACAAAAAGGAGTTTTTTTTATTGTTAAACCCAACTAAAAAATATATATATTTGCAAATAATCTTAAAAAGAAGGAAAAACGATGAAGTAATACACTAATGATTATTTCCAAAATGATGGTAAGGTAAACATCTTTCAAAAAGGAAAGAAAAATCCTAAAATCTTATGAGGAAAAAAAAAATTTTTTTTAATAGCGGGAAAATTTATCGAATTTCTTTCCGGTTTTTTGGTTTTCCGGTTTTCAGATAACTGGTTCTGTACTGTATTATACATCTCTAAAAAAAATCAATCGAGCCATGGTTAAGTAATGCCGCTGAAAAAATATGCTGCATTGTTAAATTTATTTTGTCACAATTCAGACAGTGAAAGAAATTGTTTGGGATTTGAAGGCAATTATTTCAAAAAATATAATATATACTATATATATTTTAATTGTAGAGATTTATTTGAGTTTTTAAGGGCCCAAAGACTCTCAAGAGATAAACACAATCATATGATAAACAAATACAATCTTACTAAAAAAAATCACAATAAGGAAATTAATAATTAATTAAAAGCCATAAAGAAATGTTTGTTATGCAGATCCTTTAATCTTTAAAAAAGTTTTTCTACATTGGATTCTTCTTTTTGAAAATAACAAACATTAAAAATTTACAGGAATATGGAATCTCTGTTTTGAAGGTGTAGAATTGTTATTCATAGAAGAAATAAAGTCATTTTTTTAATTGATTATTTTATAAAGTTTTGCATTTACCTTTCAAGTTTCGAAGTGATAATTATATTATGTTTTGGTTATACAGTTTAATTATTAACAGTTGTTTTTGGTTTTTTGTTAGCGCAATGGTCGTTTAATTTTGGAAGGCTCCTTAAGGATATTCTGGGGCGTAAATAATGTCATCCATCTTAAAGAAGATCATGATGATCGAATTCCTGTTAGAAGACGAAACAGTTGCCAATTCATGTCAGAACAGGCTCCCCGAGTAAGTGTTGTCTAATTATCACATTGTTAATTTATTTTTTTCAATAAAGTATTCGTAACTTTATTGAACAAGTTGCATAACTATGATTGAATCTATATTACACTTTTTCTATTATTTTTTTTTTCAATTTTAAACTAAGCTCTTGCTTTTTTTTATAAATGATTTTATCTCTTTTTTTGTGTATAAAAATAAAACAATTGTTTTAAAATTGCCTGTGAATGTTTAGTCTCAAGTGTATGTTTATTTCAGAAATAGAGTTCATGTTTCGAATCAATATTAGGGGGTCCGGAAAGTAATTTTGTTTCAGTGCATTTGATATTAGTTATCGAGATTTTATTTTCAATCAATAGTGTATTCACCCTCGTTAGCAACAACCTTTCAATGCGGGATAGAATATAAATGGAAATGGATCGAAAAAATGAACTGGTTTTTAAGGCTGAGAAATGTTTAATGCGCCAAAACGACATTACCTTCTAGTCCCCCTAATATATATATTTTTTCCAGAATCTATTGTACCATTAATAAATATTATATTAAGTCATGAAATTTATTTTTCACATTGTACAATTGTGCAAATATAAAATAAGAAAGAAAAGTAATATAAAGAGTCTTAAGTTATAAAAAATATTATTAAAGTAAAGATCATTAGTGTAACAAAAATTATATTAACTTGTTTATTCATTAAATATATTTTCTAATGTTATAATGTTAGTGGCTATTTATTCATCAGAAAATAGCTTGTAAATTTTTGAATCTGAATCATATTTCTCATTCTCGGAATTAAGATAAATTTGATGTGAATTGTCTAAAAATTAAAAGAACAAGTTGGATATCTTTTCTCCTGCTAATTATTTCAAATATATATTTAAGAAGAAACTGATTCTTTGCCACCCACAGGAGCAAACGTATATCAAATGACCAAGGAATTTTTGCCCCTCTGTTTTCTAAGTGAACAGTTTTAAAACCACATATAAAATTATTGCAAAAAATGACTGTCTATCCTAAAGTACTATTAAAAATTCGAGTTTTCATTTTCGATACTAAATGTGAAATTGATTCATTTCTTTTAATATCTTTTATGAAATATAATTTTTCCTAAGTTAAACATGATTTGTTTTCTTTTTGAACTTCAGTCAGCAAAAATATGCAAATTTGTATTGGATTTCTACTGTGTACATTTCTAATTGCCAGACCATCGATCACAAGCTAATAGTAGGTCATTTTTAGAAGATTACACTAACAGTCCTATTGACTTTAGTCAAATTACATGAGTTAATGTGAAATACATTGACTCATGTATGCTTCCTGGCAGTAAACCAAATGTAAGATTTTTTTAAAAGTAAGGTTGGTAGTTTTTTGGCTAGTAGCTCACAGTAGGATTTAAAAATGGTACAGTAATTCAGAAGCTTCATAAGTTTAGTGATTACTTGCAAAAAATCTTTTGCTATGTTCCTTATAAGTCATGCGAATAATAGATAGTGTTAATGCAAGTTGTAACAGAAAAATAAATAAAGTATCTTAAATATAATTTTCAGATAAAAGTTTAACAAGTTTGCTTTACGCCTGTAATGTTTAAAGTTAATTTGTTTTCATTGATTCAAAATTAAGAATGTTGAATTTTGGCTGAGTAATTAGTCAAACTAAAATTAAGTTAAATGAACTCGTTATTTTGTCTCTCTTCTGCAACATATTTGATATTTTTCTTTCGTCTAGATTACCAGCAATAATAAGTCTCTAACGGATGATGAAAAATCTGCTTTGGTGGAGAAAGATCCAAATCTTCTCAACTCTTTGTTATCATTACCAATGAGTGATTCAGTGCCTTTATCGGAAATAGATCTTGATGTGAAAAATGTGGAAAATGAAGTTGTGGAAGAAGCTCCTGTGTCCCCTACTCATTATAAAACTTTGCCTGCTGGAGGATTGAAAAGTTTAAGATCTGACAACTCTCATATCATCCACGACAGCACCATTAAGGACAAGTGTGGAAATGTTGTTCACCTCCGAAGAAAGCCTCGAGTACAAAAATCGAAGTTACGAAGGAGATGCTCCATAAATGGACACTTTTACAACAGAGAGGTTTTTATGTTTTTTTTAAAAAAAAAATCTTATTTTGTTGCCAAATGTTGTTCATTTTAAATAGACTCGCAATCCAATCCAACAAACCCTCTAATTCGAACTTTAGCAATTTGATTGTTTTAACCTATTATCAAAAGTCAGCCTCGAATTATCAAGATTTTGATGAAATTTGAGTTTAAATTTGTTTTCTCCCCTGTAAATAAACTAAATTTCCCCAACCTTAAAGACCCACTAAACTAAACACACCCTTATGCTTCAACTTAAAGAACGTGAAAAATTTATCCAAAATCAGGATATTAAATTATCTTCCATTGCCTATATAGTCATGGGTTTGAGTTTTCGTCTACTAAAATGATTCCACACTGCTCTTTATCTATCAAACTTGATTTCTGGGAATCACACTCTATTTTGAAAAATTCTAATAATTTAGATCATTATCTTTCATACCAACCCCCCTCACACCGTATCCTCCTTTTTATTATCTTCTTCAAATTTGTTTCTCTGTTAGACCACTTTGCACCTGTTTATCTCTTTATTTTTCTAATATCATTTAGTGTTTAGAAGCGGAGGAAGGTTTTTGTTTAGTGAACCAAAATTATAATATGTCTTTTTCTGTACTTTATTTCTGCTTTAGTCATGTTGTTTTACACTTTAGTCAATGTAGCACAAAGTTTACCATATTCTTTATAATAATATACTTGTCATGATGCCACAATAGGCATTACGTATTTCTTAGCTTTTAAAACTTATTTAATTTTTATTGCATTTTATAAAAAGCGAATATAAAATATTTTATTCTTTTCTTAATAATCAATGTAATGGCTAACTTTTTGTTTCAATACAAATGTAAGACTCACAGCGTGACTAAATCAAACACAAAAATCTATTTATAACTCTTTATTCTTTACTTCTTACCACAAAAATTTGTCAGTTACATGGTTGTACTATGTGAGTCTTTTTGGCTTTTCGCTTTCGCCAAATTATTTTCAAGTTTAATATTGATTATGGGGGGTTGGCTTTATTTTTGTCTATGTTATCTTTTAATAAATCGCCAACCATGGATCTCTTCCCATACTCCTAATTGTCCATTGGGAACATTTCATTTACTTTTAATTTTGAATTATTGGTGATGGGACTGGAGGCTTCAGCATATATAGCTCTGTTTTATTTGGTTATCAAATTATATAAATATGCTTTTAAAACAATATAAAAGCTTTTCAAAGTTAAACTCATCGGATAGAAATTTAATTCATGCTATCTTTTATTATACATATCATAGAATTATTAAAAAAGAGTTATAGTTTCATAGTCTTACTGGTATCCTAGACTTAGCGACATATTTCGATAAATCAAGAGAACATTCATTCTTGAAAAGGAAATAACTATACGATGTTACGAGAGCATTGGATTTAATTGGACCACTAAAATGGACTGTTTTATGCTGACATGTCCTTAACAAATCAAATGCGTGATAACGAATTATTGTATTTTTGTTTTACTGTCGAAGAAAATCGTCTGCAAGAAACAATATTTATAATTCTTTTATCACTTTCTTTAAATGCGAACAGAAATGCTTTGTTACAGTTTTTAGATTTTCTGATTTTTAGATATACCTGAAGTTTCTATATCAACAAAATATAATATTTTCTAATTGAAAAAGTTAACTTTTAATATTTTTTACATATTTAGAACAAATTTCAAATTTTTTAAGATTTATTTATAGTGGATTGAACAACTGACCAAAAATATTTTAAAATGTATCACACCAACATTCACTAAATTAAGGCTTACAATTATGCTATTATTTATTTTATTTGTGCTCAAACTGAATAAATTGTGCAACTATGTCAAGTATGTTCTAAAATTTGTAATACTTATCTTTCTTATTTATGTATTTTAATGTTCTTAAAGATTTTAATATTAAAGTTACCCATTTAGTTTAGCTAAAATGTTTTGATGATATACAAAATTTTTATGTAAGTTATTTTATATAAAAAATTAAGTTTTAATCTGTATTTAACAGAAATTTCATGATACATATATTTTTCAGACAAGCATATTTACACCAGCTCATGGTAGTGTGACCAGTGTCTGGGTAACAAGTTTGGTTACTGCACCTGAAGTAATAAATATGCTGTTGGACAAGTTCAAAGTTGTTAACAATCCTAGTGATTTTGCCCTATACATTGTTAGAGATACTGGTGGTTAGTCTATGCATTTTAACTTATTTTTTTTATTTCACGTTTCATTTAGATTATTTTTTAGAGCTGAAATGCTTTCTACACTGCAATTATAAATCTAAAACAATATCTTTTATTCCTAGCTCATTTTTTCCCCATTACACTTAATGTCTTGGGAAAATAGTATGCTCTCTGAATAAGTTAACTCTGAAATAAGTTAAAAATATAAAATTTTTCTCTAATAATTTGCCTATACTTTAAAATGCTTTAATTTAAAAGTATTTATTTTGTTGGGTAAGTGCTTGACCAAACGCGTTTCAATGAATCTACTATTCGATTTAATGTGTGGACGTAGACTAAAGCCTGCCCAATACTAAATGGAAATAACAGGATTAAATAAAATTATACCGAAATAAAACCAATATTAAACAAGCTAAAAAAGCAATGTCTTGTTGGAGTAACTTGAAAAATAAAATTTATTCGAATAGTTGGGAGTTTTTTGTGTAAATTTATTTAATAGAAGTTGGGATCAGTTAACGGGACTTTTCACTGGTCAATTTATCGTATAAAAGTCCCTTACCAGTATATTTAACCCTAAAAACAAAGCCTTTGCAGTATTTTTCTTTTTAAAAAGAGATCTTTTATGAAATTATACATTTTAAAACTGGTCTCAATCATGTGAATTATCATAATTTTAAAACTACCACTCCTTGAAAAATATTGTTTTTGTGTTTTTTCACTAAAAGAGGGAACAAACCTAGCTATTTTCAAATATTCGCATAATTTTATTAGAATTTTTCATAATTTCGAGAAGTCTTTATCGACCTCTGCTTAGTTACTATAGGATTTTCTGATTTTTAGTGTATATTTGTGTTATGTTTTTTTTTTTATTTATTTTTTTTTTGTTTAGTTTAATTTTTATGTAATTTTGCATTTAAACTTATTTTATGCTACATTTTAAATGTATTGCTAATTTACTATTATAACTAGTGGTTTTAGTTATTGTTGTATTTTAAATTGTAGAAAGAAGATGCATTCAAGAACATGAGTATCCTCTGTTGGTTAGATGTATGCTGGGGCCTAGTGAAGATGTTGCTAAGGTGTTTATAATGAATAAATATCAGGCCAAAGAAGTTACTTGTGAGGTTTGTATTGCTTGTGTGCTTGCTTTTTTATTTATTTGCTTAAAACTAATTACTTTTAAAATATTTTATTTAAAAAATAAAAATAAAATTTTAGTTCCAAAATAAATGCAAACTTTTGCCAATCATTGATTGCTATTCAGATATAGAAAAAAATTATTATTACTCAAATTGTGCTAATTGGTACTTATTATAAGTTAGATGTATATGTCAAATGTTATGATTATGCTAAAATATTATTGAAGTTATTATATCTATTTTAGTGTGTCATTATATTTGGCTTCATGTGTTGTTAATTTAACAGTGTTATGTAAACATAACACTAACAACATAAATGCAATGATTATTTTATGTAATAGAAAAATGGGCTATAAAAAAGAAGTAAAAAGAAACAAGTCCACTAAATCATGTAAATTTTAAAAGGCGGTTCCAAAACATTTTCTATTTAATTATGTTAGCATATTTGAATATTTACATAATGTAACGAAACAAAATATAAATTACTGAAAAGGATGTATCAATGATACATAATGGCACATGTATTATAATATACAGGTATTATTTGTACAGGCTTTATAGAAAAACAGATGTTATCTACTAGGCTAATGTAAATTTCATGGAATTTTTTGGACACATTTGCCGAGGGGACTCATCCTTCTTAACCACTGGAATCTTTAATTTTATCAAATCAGAACTTAAAACATGAACCATATGCAGGATTAGACTAAGTTGGATTAACTGCATTAATGAAGATTTCAAAGTTGCTGAGAGAGAACTACTGGAACATCCTAGATAATAAGAATGGAAAAAAAATTCGAAAGAAGACCCTGCCTCGCCAAGAGCTATCGAGTCAATAAAAAAGAATATTCATTTAAAATTTATCAAAATCAGCTGAATCATGAATCATAGCAAATTTGTTCAGTTAAGAACAAAATTAGCTATTTAAGAACTTTGCCCTATAGCATAAAGCAACAATAAACTAGCTGAACTTAGTATAAGTCATCTTCCAGTAATAGTCTGTGTTTACTTTTCCATTAAAAACACCATTTTACATGAAAAAAAAACCATGCATTTAAATTTTTTTCTCTCTCTTTAATTTTGTTTTACAGTGTGAAAATCTAAAAAATGATTAGCATTCATGCCAAAATATTGAAATTTTTTGCAACTTTTTTTTAACTATTAAACCGTCATTAATGATCTAGAAAATTTAATTTCGCTAAATATTGCTGCTAAAATATTTATATTTCCTTGTGTTGGTAAGACTTTTATGTATCCTTTCGTAGAATAACAATTATTCAACAATTGTAAGCACAGAATTATTTTTTATTATTATTCTAATTGCTTTTTATATCAAAGCTTGTAAGACCTGTACCGTAAGTAGGGTTTGTTGATTTAAATCAACAGATTTTTTATTTTTTTATATATTGATTTTAAAGTTAAAAAACAGTGTTTTAAATTATTGATACTTTTATTATTTTCTTTTCTTAGTTTTAAAATTTATTTTAAATAAATTGCTGCATTAATTAATTTTAGTTAACGAAATTACTTTCTTTCTTGGTGTGTGTTAAATTCCAACACATTTGAAATTACATTTTTAAAAATCTTTTGATTCTTGAGATTGAAAGTACAGATTAAAGTAAACATTTAATGCTGTCTTAATATAGACTTGCATAGCTGTAGAAAGTAATTAATAAACATGAATTTTTTTCAAAAAATAATACAAATAATGTTAATTAAAATTCTACCTTTTGAATGAAAAAGCGTGAATTAAAATCTACATCATATTTTATTGGTGGAAAATGTATATTTCTGAAGCTTGAGGTTATATTAAAAAGAAATTAACCTAATATGCCAAAAATAGAAAAAGAAGAAAAAGGCTGATGAATTCAGATATTTTTTTCCTGATAAAGTGTCATTCTTCCCTTTTACATTCTATTTGAAGCAGTAGTGTTATTAACTGGTATTTTTTCTCATAATATGTTTACGGTATCTTTAACATTATCTGATTTTCTATAAGGAAATTTTGTGGGAAAAAAAATTCCAATGAGTACCTAGATTTTAAAAAAAAAATTTTTTTAGCTTAACTTATCTACTTTGATATAGAATTAAAAATGAATATTTTAATATAAAAACATATAGATTAAATATTTATTTATTTTTTGATAAATGACTACATTTATAAACACATTCTGTTGCATTTATTTTATCATTTTAAAAATCAAGTAAGGAAAAAAAAGAAAACATAATTTTAAACTATGGTTTGCTAATTGAAACTTTGTTTTAATAGTTAAAGTGCAGGGATCTGTCCAAGCCAAATTTAATACCGTAAGCGGTACTTTCACAAATTCAACTTTAGGAAAAACGGTAGAATAATTTCACAAAATACTTTTTTCTTAAAATTTTATTTTTGTGTCTCGTAAGAAACGACAAATTCATATTTTTACCATATTTGTGTTGATTTTTTAATATAATTTTTAATTTTCACAAATTATGTCTAAATTTTCACGAAATAGGTACCTCTCAGAAAAACCTAGACAGACCCCTGGAGTATTCTTTAAATTCTCTATTTCATCTAGTCTTTAAATTTCAATCATGCATTTGTTTCAAAATGGTTGCAATGCATTCAAAGCTATGTATTAGAGTGAAAAATTATTTCAGTAAGTTAGAGCTTCTAAAATATTGTTATAATATAGNAAAAAGCAGTCTTATAAAGTTTTTTTAATCATAAATTAAAGTTCTTGCAGTGTATTTGAATAAAAAATCAAAAAAATATGATTTAAATAAAAAAAATCTGATTTTATTGATTTTTTTTTTCCTTCAAAATCACGAACCCTGACCACAAGCTCTAGTTATTAATGGAAATTTTCCCTATTTTGTTTTCTTTTTTTGTATACATTATAAAATATCATTTACATTGTTATTTTTTTAAAGAATAAAAAAACTAAAGGTTACATTTGTATTAATACATTTGAAAATGTGTATATTTTTAGGTTGCGCAGTATTTAAATTTTACTGAAACTGAGCTGAAGATGTTTTTACATAAATTTAATGAAGAAGAGAAGCGGGAAGCTCAAAAAATAACCATGAAGTAAGTTTAATATTATTAAAAACCTTTTTAAATACTTCCGTTTGAATTGTAATAGTTATCTTTTACAGAGCATCAGTGTTAAATACAAGAGACAAGCTGAAAATAGGTTTTTACAATAAATCTAAGAATACAAATAAAAGGGAAATTTAATTATTAATTTTTTATCAAAATAATGCGAATTTTTTTTAAAATTTATTAAATTATCAATATTAATCACTTGATATATGTTCAGTATTTAATTTGAAACTTGCTTTTCTAATTTTCTAGGTATGAAGAAAAGAAATGTAGACTTCAATGTCGAATTGATGAATTGAAAGAAATTCAAGAAACAGGCCTTTAAACAATGAGCTTATTTATGAATTTTTCTTTAATCTATATTTTTGTGCAATGAAAAGTGCAGCTTGTGTAAATATATATTTATATATTTTAACTGTACAAATTTATATTTTATCGTAAGAAATTTATGTTGTATTTGTTTCCTTTTGCAGTACATATTTTATTTTATTTATGACCACCTATTTTTTATACTTAATACCTGCTTTGCTTTAGCAAAATTCAAGTGCCTTCAGTGCGAAATCTTCAATGTGCTGACATAAATTCTGCATAATCATTAATAACTATTTTTTGCTGATGTAGTAATATATACATTAATTTTAGATATCTATTAAATATGATACTTTAGGTTTGTTGAAAACGCTTTTAAAGTTAATGTTGTTTTGTAACTTTCCTATTTTAATGTGTCTAATTAGATTTTAAGATCACTAAGATCTAATGAAAAATAAAAACTGCTCTTACAAAAGTGTATTTTTCTCCAAATTGGAAAATGTTTTCAAAGAATAATTTAGTTAAGGGAAAATTATTTTTTAATGAGTATTTTAAGTAAGTATCAATTCTTTTGCTATTTCACAAATCCTCAAACATGTTTTTTTCATCAATTATTAAATTCTTTTAACAGGGTTCCCACGGTCCTTGAGAGTCCTTGAAAGTCCTTGAATTTTTTTTTACTAAATTTAGGTCCTTGAAAGTGCTTGAAAAACATCTTAGGTCCTTGAAAAACTTGATAGGTCCTTGAATTTGTCGAATACTGCCGACGGCCCTTTTTATAAAACATCCGCGGATCTTTCTCGTTCTTTCTGTTTTGTTACCGAGCTCTCTCACGTGGTTTTTAATGCCACCGTTTCTAACCGGGCCTAGTGTCTTGGTGTCTGCCAAGTGCGCGGAGCACAGCAGACAATCAATGCATCCGGGGCGAGACTCCACTTCATCTTTTGTCACATATGCTTAGATCTTCTTTTTTCTTATCAAAACTGGAATACTCTCGAATTTCGTAACAATATGTACCTTGTAGTTTTCAATAAATTTGCCGTTTTACCATCCACACTTGTCCTTATGTTTGCGTCATTTCAAAACTTTATTGCTTCATTTCAAAACTTCATTGTAAAGCGTATGCGCAAAGGCACGGCTTCGTATTTGTGTTATGTAGTTTAGACTAGTTATGCCTGGGAAGTGCTATTTTAATCCCCAATGGTTGGGTAATCCAGCTTATAAAGAATGGATTTTATCGATGCCCGAAAAGAAGTTCAGAGCCAAGTGCCGATTATGCATGAAGGAGATCGATATCGCGAAAATGGAAGAATCTGCTCTGAAATCACACATGAAAGAAAGGTAAAACAAAAAAGCAGTCTCATGCCCTGAGTTCTCTTTTTCCAAAGACATCAACATCTAATTCATCTGGTGTAAATACTCCTTCAACATCGTGTGCCCCATGTGAAACAGAAACTTTAGTGGCCGAGGTAACATTGTCTTCTTATCTGGTCAAAAGGAATGTGCTTGATGCTGAAATTCTCTGGAGTCTGAAGTGCATCACTAGTAATTATTCATGTAACTCCTGTGAAGGGATTAGTAAATTGTTCTCCAAAATGTTTGCTGATAGCTGTATAGCGAGACAATTTTTTTGTAGTGCCACAAAGTGAGCCTATTTGGGCTCCTTTGGATTGGCACTATACTTCAAAGGGATTCTTATAAATGAGCTGAAGAATGTTGATTGCTACACTGTACTCTTTGATGAGACGTTAAATCAGTCTCTACAATCTAAGCAGATGGACATTATGGTAAGGAATTGATAATAAAGTTTGCACTAAGTATCTTACCTCCCAATTTATGGGTCATGGAACTGCAGAAAATATTTTGTCCTCTTTTTACAAATGCATGGATGATGGTTAAAAGCTCTCTAAAATACTTCAATTATCCATGGATGGACCCTATGTCAATTGGAAATTCTATTAGAAGCTTCAGTGTGAATTAAAAGAGAAATATTCCCACCAGGTCATATTCATTGGCAGTTGTGGATTACACATAACGAATTATGTTAAACATGGTGAAAATGGGATATGTTCCTTCTAATTTTTATTTTCAGAAAGAATTGTTGCTGCATAACATTTAGAGAAGGTTGTGAAAATTATGGATGAATTAATTTTATAATTTCAGAAACGATGTTTAATAGAGGAGAGGAGGGGGTTATGGAATAGTCATGGAATATGGAATACCTAAGATTTAGCTCGTTTTTCATGCAGCCTTCAAGTGGAAATACACAGGATTAAAGGATTTCACCATTAACACCTCATTACCATTAGTTATAGATTGTGCTGAAAATGATTTTGTGAATTAATATGTAAAACCAGTAGGGTTGTTTTTAAAAAAATGTAAATGGTAGTCCATAATACATGTACTCTCTTCTCTCTATATAGGCAAAGCATTTAGGCATTATATTTGAAATTAATTATTGCCACAACAAGCATTGTTGCTTCTAGTAAAATAGAAGAGAATAATTTTTAAAATTGGTCTTAGATTAAGGTTCTTGAAAATTTTGTTTAGGTCCTTGAAAAGTCCTGGAAAGTCCTTGAATTTCAATCTCATCATAGAGTGGGAACCCTGTTTAATAAAATTATTTTACTAAACATTTTACATCAACCCTTTTATTTACCTCTCCATCATAAACCTAAAACAAAAATAAATAACTTTTAAATAACAATTTAAAAAATACATTTTATTGTACGCCTAAAAGTTGTCTGAAATTCACATTTTAGTTAATTAACCACCTGCTATATCTTTTGTTATCTTAAGGTTTCTTTAACGTATAGTTTAAAATTTATAATAACCTTTCACTGTCACATTGCTAATTGTTTTATTTAGAGTTTTGGTGGAAAATATTTTAAGTTATTTTATTAATCCTTAAAAAAAATAAAAAGAAAAGATTCATGCTCACTAAACAAATACTCAAGTATCTACTAAAAAAACTTAACAAAAATTAGTCAAAATTTTATTATTTTAATTGGGCAGTTCTATTTTTCTCTATCCCAGACTATAATAATGTTACATTATTTTTCTCTTCCTTTTAAATTATATAAATTTATTTTACTACTTTCTTTTTAGCGAGGATTGATTTTTGAAATTGTAATTAATTTTATACTGTTAAGAAATATAGAAAATTGGTTTTATCTCATGTAACTTTATAAAATTTAATTTTTTTTTTCTTTTTAAGTACATAACATACATATTTTAAGTTATATTTGAAACATTTATAATAAAATGTTATGCTTTATATGAGTTTGTAAGTAGTTAAGATTAAGAATGCAATTTTTGCTAAAAATCTTTTCTAGTTTTTAAAGTAGGAACATTTTGAATAAAAACTATTCAAATGCATTATATTTTTTTTAGTTTTAGAAAATTAAATTATTATAAAAGTTAAAAATTTTTAGTACAATTTGTCTATGAGCATATTTTTATTCAAACATATACTAAAGACAATCCAATTATAAGATCTGTGTTATTGATATGATAAATTATATTATCGGTATGAATTTATTGTACCTAGATATATGCATAATTGTATTAATTTATCATTAGTAAGAAACATATATAATTAGGAATTATATTCTTAGAATTAAAAGTTTATTTAATGTCAACTTTTAATTGAACATGTACTTAAAAAATGTCTGCATTGAAAATTTGCTAAAAGAAATGCACCAGAACTTTTTAATCAAGTTAAATAAATTGCATAATTTATGCAAATAAAGCTAGATAATGTAAGTAATGCACGAATAAAACTACAAAAATACATAATTTATTTTACTTTCTACACTTAGACCATATCTTAAACCGTAACGCATATCTTCGCTTATAAAAATTATTATTGATTTTTAATTATTGATATATTTGATTCAAATGGTTTCCTATTATTGGACAGGAAGAAAATTAAGAAACTTCTTAGTTACTTCTGTTTCAAATAAATAAACTATGCAACCAAAAAAATACAACTTACTGGTGTTTTGTCCGGATTTTCAAAATTCAGCATTTTTATTTTGTCGGCTTTTTGTGTTATACGGCTTTCGAAAACAGTAAGTTCGCAACAAATTAAAATTGTTGAACTAGGAGATGTTCCTCAAAATATACTACAATGAATTAAAGTAACTTATCATAACTTGTGTTTGTATTTTTAAATAAAATTTTAAACTGAAAAAAACTGAATTAAATTTTATATGGGTGAATTGGAGTCATAGACTTATTTACTATTTTCAAAAGATTAAATCAAATCTTGTACAAAGATCAGTTGTTTCCAAAATTTGTATATTGTACTCTTGTATTTGTGTTTTGAAAAATTTGTACTCTTTATAGTTTGTATAAAACAATTTAATCTAATTAACAATCATTAATCGTAGAATTTTTGTTTTATTTGTGAACTAAGAAGTTGTCCACCATTAAATATTTTTTTAAAAGGAACAGTTGACAGTTAAGTGCAACTCCTCATTAAAGATATTGAATTCTGATTAACGATGCTGGGCAAATAGGTTTTACAGACCCTAAGACAAAATTTTTTGTGGTTCCCGTCCCAAAGAACAAAAAGACTTATTTCGAAGTCCTTTCATTTACTAAATTGTAGTTTATATATAGATGTATAGGAATTTTCACCAAATTCCTTTTTTTAAAAATTAATTAGAAAACAATTCTTTTTTGTGGATAATTTGAACTGGGTCCTCGGACAATTACCCCTGTTTTCCACAATCCCTTGAATATGGCGTTGCTGATTAAAACATTATAAATTAAACTGTCATTTTAAATAGAATACTAAACCATCAAACTGGCTCGTAGTAAGAAACTATTCCAAGTAAGAGTTCTAAAATTATCATTCTAAAACTAGAGACTGAAGAGTAAAACTAAAGAGTTGTATAAAGAACTTTTGATTTACTGCTCTAATTTTTACGTCTTAGGTCTTAATCTTTAAGGTTTGAGGGCCTGCGTATAAATATTTTAATTAACTACTGCAGATGATATTTAAGGTTTTGAAAGCAGGCACAAAAGCACATTTTTTTCTAAATAAACTTGTCTCCTGTCATTTCTTCACCTTCAAAATATGGAGGGTAGCTGCAATTTTAAAAATATTGTCCCATTAGTTTAGATAGGTGAACGATCAAAATCCAATCACCATAATGCTAATTTATTAAATTAATTACTATATTGCTTGTGATATTTTCTTTTGTTCTGGTTTAATTTATATAAATCTAAGAACTTGAAAAAGTTTGAAGAGAATTGACTTTTAATTCATTTATTTTCTGTATAAATAAAACTGATAAATTTTTTTGGGCATGAAATTAAAATGAGCTATAAAATATTCATCAAACAATTATGCTGTACTCTATTTGTCACTTTTTGTGCAATGTTTTAAAATAAAATTGCATTTATTTAGTTTTGTTTTTTGTAACTTATGCTGAATACTAATTTAGTCAATTCTTAATATTGATATCATTTGTTTTGTTTTGAATTGAAAGTAATTAGAAGAATTATGTTACATATATATATATTTGCCTTTATTAAAAGAAATTAGTTTTTTTATTTCAAAAATTCTGTATTTCACTTTTGTGATTTTTCTTATATACTATTCACTTACGCCATCAAACGTGAATCATAACTAAGCATTTTATTTATGACTCTAATTTGATGCTAGTTTTATTCTGAAATTTTGCATTTTCCTGTTGTGATTTTTTTCTTATTTATTGACCTATTTACTTACGCTATTAATCTAAAATTAGAATGAATTATACACAACTAAGGTTACAAATTCAAGTACTGTGTATACTTTACTGCAAATTTAGTGTCATAAATATGCTAAATATAATGACTTCAAGATACAGAAAAAGTTTATTATGAGGTAAAATGTGTTTTTTTTTTTTTTTTTNTATCTTTCTTTTTTTTTTTTTTTTAATTTTTTTTTTTTAATTGTAAAAAAAATTTTGTGATTTACTTCTCATGCAAAATTAAACTATTTTATTATTATCAATGAAAATATTGAATGGTTCATAAGTGATTCATATTTATTTCAAAAATAATAAATGCAATAATTAATATTTTATGTTGTATAAAAAACACCTTAATCTACTCTAACTGTGTGTGTCAATGTGAAACATATTTGCCGCAAAGAAAATAAATTTTTCATAAAAAAATTTTATGAAAACAAGGTGAAAAATAATAATTTTTGTTTTCAATTTAAACTGCAACTTCACAGAAACTGATAAAATACCTTCATGGCATCCTTTATTCCATGTTACAATATTTATTATATTTTAAAGCTATGTGATTTTGAATAATCTGAAATTTGGTTCATTCAAACTTTTGCCTTTTCCCCTTTGATTCTGAATTCAGAAGTTTCTTCTGAATTTGCTATTTGATCTGAAAATGATCTTTTTTTTTTAAGGAAAGGAATTATTGACCAATTTCTCTGGAAAAATATTAGACATCTAAGTAACTCAAACTGATTAATCCCCCCCCCCTGAGACTTTATGGGTCTTTTTTAACTGAATTCCATTTTCCAGATTGATAAAATTCCAGGCTTTTCTCTGTTCTGTGGGTACCTGGTATATTATAAAATGTTTATGATAAAAAGAATCAGTTTACTGTCTGTTCTCTGTACATTTATGCTATTTAATAGTGTTGTGGCCAAGTGCACTGTTTGCTGCAAAATGTATTGAACTATTGTGAAAAATTGTGCGAAGATATTCGAAATCAAAAGACCAAGTGATTAGAAATGTTAATTTCTCTCATTTTCTTATTTCATTACATTGAATCTCTATATTTGAAATTACTGCTTGATTTAGTTATGTATTATGCTCTTTAAATAAGAAAAATGACCCACAGTGCCACTTTAAATACAATATAGTGAATCATGTAAACTAATGCATTGATTTTTGTTGTTCAAAGGTAATTATAGTTTAAGTATGTGCTTTATTTTTTTGTATTAAGTTGCTTACTAATTGAAATAAAAATGAATAACTTACTGACTGATTACTTATTGTGTGGAATCTTAACTTGCTTTAGATCAGTCCAACTTTAATAAGATTATAATATAAAGTCCTGCACATCAAAACCTACCATTATAGAGAAACACAAAAACCTTGTGTGTATAATAAAATGATTTGACATGCAAAAGGCATTAGTACCAAATAAGTAATAAAGCCTTTAAAAATGATAAAATTAATACAAACAATACACATATTAAGAATAAAAAACTGAAGTGTGATTTTAATCTTAAGCACTTAATTTTTACATATAAACCCTGTAATGACACGAATTAGATATTTCCCAGCTTTTTTAATGAAGTGTAACTCTTGATAATTTATTCATCTAATCATTTTCACCATAAAACTAATGGTTATATACACGGAAGAGCCATTACATTATGACCACCCTCCATCTTTAACAATGGGCTCGCCCAGGTTTTCATGGGGCACATTGGGAGCCATAATCCTCATAGAACAATCCCTGACATCTGTAAGCTACTTGAACATAGTTGCAGACCAGGTTCACCCATTCATGGCAACAGTTTTTCCTGCGGGAGGGATGGTGTTAACCAACAGGATAATGCACCATGTCATAAGGGTCGAATCGATTTGGATTGGTTCGAGGAACATTTCAGTGACTTTCAAGTCATGTCTTGGGACCCAAATTCACCTGACCTTAATCCAATAGAGCAGTGGTGCGCAAACTTTTTTCGACTGCGACCCCTTTAGTAGAGAGAAAATTTTTGGCGACCCCTAGAGATAAATGTTGAGAAATAAGATGTATATTTCGCGCATTTCTTTCGTTTCATCGAATAAAAACATCATCATATTTGACTCATATTAATTTTATTTATAATTTTAAGAAAATACTTTTTATATTACACAAAAATCAGTAAATTGCTCTTTAATGAGATGTATGTGGCTTCAAGTTTCTAATTATCTCATCGATGTTTGGATGTATGTTGCTAATTGCAAATCGCATATCATTTTCAGGGTTTTAACGCGAGCGGTATTTTGTTTTTATTGAAACTAATTTGCTAAATCCAGTTTCACATTAATACGTTGATGCAAATTGTATTAACACTCTGATGGCATTCTTGCATAAAATGGAATATTGTTTTTCCACGGATAGCCAAAATTTTTGGCAAGGCTGAGTCTTAAATTGATTTCGAAGAGTATAATCACTAATTAGATCTATCAATTGCTCTTTCTCACTAATTTGAAGCGTTGAACTGCATATGTCAAAGGAAAATGGATCACGAATCCAACCAAGATCGTTTTCAGGAAAATCCTCGAATCTTCTCGAAAAATTTTTCTTTAACTTTTCAATGTGATTGGAAATGATGTTTTTAAATGTAAATATATCTATATTATTTTCCTTGATAAAATCGTTAAAGCAAGGGAACATGTTGGTGTTGTTTTTATTCAGTTCAGTTTGCCAGAGACTAAACTTATTCTTAAAAGCTTGAATTTTACTGGCTGTAGTTATGATAGTTGAATTCTCACTCTGCAAGCTCAAATTTAAGTCGTTAAGTTTTTCGAAAATATCAACTAAATAGCTCAGCTTCCCTAGCCAAACTTCATTGATATAATAACTTGCCAATCTATGTTTCTTTTCGATTAAAATCTTGTACACTTCATTTCTTAAATCAAATATCCGTCGTAGTATTTTCCCACGTGAAAGCCATCTGACTTCTCTGTGTAACAGTAAATCTCTCATACGTTGAGCCCATCTCATAACAAAGTATTGAAAAGAGACGGCAGTTGCATTTAATGTAGTTAATTGAACTAGCAGCGTCTTGTAATACGTTGTGCAACTCTTCATCCATATCTTTTGCAACAAGAGCTTGCCGATGAATCATACAGTAATTAAATACCATATGAGGCGCCACCTTCTGAATTAAGCCTCTGAGCCCTTTATTCGAACCTGTTAATGCTGCAGCACCATCAGAAAGAGTGGACAGCATGAAATTGCAATTAAACAGGGAGTGACGGCGCTTCACTCTTTATAAGTGCACTGTATGGTATGCAGCATGCAGGGATAATGCATTTCATAAAAATTTGGCGACCCCCAAAAAACTTCTGGCGACCCCCACAGGGGTCGCGACCCCTAGTTTGCGCACCACTGNATAGAGCATTTGTGGTCCTACTTGGAAAACCAAATTCGTGCTGCCACGCTACCCCCTCGCAATGTGAGGGAATTGCAAGACCAGTTGGTGAGCGCTTGGTACCAGATATCTCAGACTACCTATCAGCACCTTGAGGAATCAATGCCACGGCGGGTGCTAGCAGTTTTGAGGGCTCAAGGTGGTCCTACATGTTATTAGCAGGATGGTCATAATGTAATGGCTCTTCGGTGTACATTCTAATGCTGATTTTCTCAAAAACTAAATTATTAGTTAAGATCTACTCAAGTTTTAAGTCAATTTCTCTTCAGTCAATTTTTTTTTAAATACATTGACTAAAAAAAATACATCAGGCTAAGTAAAAATATTTTAATTATGGTTGTGAAATAATTGAAACACATATTACAAGAGTTTAATTTATGACAACAAAAAAAACATGACTACTGTTGAAGCTCAAAAATAATTTAATACATATAATTTGCAGCTACATAGAATAGTAAAAACTGACAAACATGTTACAATACAAGTGACACTACTTAAGACGCACTACATCACATACAAATGTTTAAAATGTAAACAGCTACATGATTCATTCACGATAACTGCATTGTCGAGTATTTCATCTAGATGACTTTAAATAAATCTTTAGCTCATGATGCTGAGGATTTTCGCTGGGATTCTGTTTACAATGTCTCACCTGACATTATGGCGTAATATTTACAATGTCTTTTACAAAAATAGTTAAAAGTCAAATGGTTGAAATGTACAAGTGAAATAAAATGTTTTTATTTTTATATTAAAAACAAATGAAACCATTAAATATATGTCAATGGAGTTATGAGAATGGTATATTCATAAAATTATTGTTGATATTAGGTAAATGGCAGTGCAGTAAAAATAATGACTTGTAAGTAGTTGAATAAAAATAAATGGCATCAAAAGAGGTAGTTTTTCTAATATTTCATTGTTTTGAAAAGCAAGCGCCAATTGTTATTTAATTAGCAAAATAAATAAAATATGTATAGTACAATGCAAATAGATAAAGAGAAGTTAATTTGTTCATAAAATTGTGCTTGAAAGAATATAATTCTTTCATTAAAAATGATAGAAATGAATAACCCTTATTCGAATAAAAAAAAGATTTAAGATTCCTTTTTTTATTTACATAAAAGAAAAAAATTATCACACTCACAAACAATACTTTTTTTATTTATGAGCCAATATTAATCAACCAAAGCCTATAAGTAAATAATATGGAGATTCCAAATTGTAAGAGGATGAAAATAGTTCTCGATCTTAATTAGAAGATATTTTGCTATTTCCTTTAAAAAAAAAAGAGACAAAAAAAATAATCCTTGAAATCATATAGGAAAAAAAATGCATTTCTATTTGAAATGAATGTGTAATACAAATGATCATGCAGCACAAAGTTGAGGTTAGTTTTTTTTTTTTTTAATTTGACTCTTATGCTTTCGAAAAAGTTATATAAGCAACTAAAAAGATTTAAATGGGTAATATGATAAAATAAATTTTCACAAATTAATAATTCAAAAACTCAACTGCTTATTAAGAGAAACTAAATTCAATCACAATCGAACTAAATATATGTATAATGAAATATATATACAAAGAGTAAAAAAAAATTCCAGTTAAGTTAAAGTTACATTCCATGAGATTAAATAAAATTTTATACTTGATCATAACAGGATAGTACGAGATTAATTATTTGTATTAGTCTTATTTTCATAAAATTGTGAAAAAATACATAAAATATGTAAACAAAAAGTGCATTAAAAATTATAAAAAATAATTTTTTTAACAAGGCCACATCTTTTTATTACTAATGACACAAGTTTTTTTTTTTATTGCCTGGTTAAATTATATGCATTTTTAAGTATTAACGAACCATTTAAAATGGTAAGTTAACAGCAAATTTCAGTAATAAAATACAAACTTGCTTTGCAAGCCATAGCATTTCAAAGCTAGTGATTTCATATATATATATAAATGTATTGCAAAATGTTATTTTAAAGTAAAACTGCATAGAAGGTCACCTCTATTGTAAACTATCGCAAATGGAGGTAATACTGAGTTATCAGCTGCATGTAAGGTTTATAGGCAGGAAAACACATTTACAATGATCCTTCAGAGTAAAATACAACCTCCTACTATTTTTCTTTAATAAAAATAGGCTGGATTTTTATTTTTAGATTTTTAACTGTACAATACCTAGTTTAAAAAATATAAAATGTCAGTCCAGTTTCAAATATACAATATAAAATGTTTTTTCATTTTTTTTCTTTACTTTAGGCACTGGAGTTTTACAGTATTTGGGAGTAGAATTCATTTCTACGTTTGTCTATCAAAGACTTTTGCCAGTAAAATACATAAATTCTTGCATAGATAGTTCATAATTGTGTACATGGTTCCATAAGAGTGTATGTGCAAGCATTTATCACCTTTTGTTTCTGTTTATGGAAGCTAGCTTATTGCATCAGATTTCTATTACACAGATTATTAAAAGTAACAATATAAAAAGTTATTGAACTTAGAAAATGAAAAATATTGAGTAACTGATTTCTTTTTATTACTAACTTAAAAAATAAAACACAAAAATTTGAATGGAGTGTATTTTTATTTATTCAAGCACATTTTGTAAAGTAAACTTTTAAAAAGTGGCCCAGTAAAAAGTTAAATTAGAAAAGCAATTACGTTGAATATAAAATTTAATAGCACAGATGCCAGAATCATTCATGCTGAGCCAAATTTAAACAATATTATATCTTGAAGATAACAAAATTAAACCAAGTAAATAACTAAGTCTGACTAGAAAAATGAAAAAAATCTCTAAAGAACCTTAGCTGGAAGATGTGTTTAACCACTTATAAGGTATAATTATTTATTAAAAAAATAATTAAAAAAACAGCATTCGTGCAACAGCCAATTCTCGAACATGAAGGCTACGGCTGCACAAATTTAAGACAAATTTCATGACGGTGGTAATATTTTCAGCGTTACATACCAGGTCCCTCTTAATTACCCAAACAGTTGAGGTGAGAAAGCCTTTGGAAACACTGATTAAAAGTGCTTAATAAAAGATGGAATTTACAGTTGGGAAAGTATTGCAAATACACTCCAAATCAAATTTTTATAGCATTCCAAAACATTTATGTTAACAAGTTTATCAAATTTCACAAATACAATATTCAAAACATTTCATAATTCATGGTATAAAACTGTTTCACTTAATCACACAAAACATTTATAAATAATTTTTAAATAACTTTTTATTTTCAATTCCTGTAGGGAGCACCAACAGTCAGTGGGGGTAAAGAGAACACTGTTACCCAGCTAGTTGTGGGATTCGTGCATGGCAGCCCAATAGGCGCATTGTCTTTCATTATTTCATCCTCACTTTGTAAACAATGCTTCTTATTCTGGGGCATATCGAATGAAACATTTAAGTTCTTAACACCACCTGTCCTCTTTTCTTTCATCTTCTCGTCCCATTCAGCTTCACCGTGGCTTCCTGCGTTTAATTGCTTATGCTGATAGAAAACCAAACTGATACGAGTGGGGTGTTTACGATTGGGTTTCTTAACGGCAGTTGTGGCATGAAGTTCGTGTTTGGCACATTCAAATAATACAGATCCATGCGTCAAAGCAATTGCAACACCACCCACTTCAGCATCTTTAAAGCTTCCCTCGTTGTCGGAATGACCTTCGTAAACCTCGTCACCCTCGATGGTCAGGGTGGTCGAATCCACCAAATTGTCTGCATCGTCAATGTTTGTTGTGCTGTATTTTGAGGTTAGAACTCCTAAATGATTAGTTTCCTGAGTGCTTTGATAAGAATTATTTTGTTGCGAATTAGGAAAACAATGAGGTATTTCTGAAGTATCCGAATAGGGCCTATTCAATTTGGAATCCTTTCCATCACACATGGGTGACATGAAGTTGTCTTTCACATCCCTCTCATACCCTTCTTTCATGGCATTCATCCCATTATTGTTGGATTCTGAAGGATAATTGCAATTAACATCTGAAAGGTTGTTAAACCCTGGTGTAAAATTAACCTGTTGCAGATGATAATTATAATTTTTTGCATTAAAATTGTAGTTATCATATGGTTGGTTTAATCTTTGGCATTGATTATCAACAGGTTTATTGGTTAGTTGCATTCCCTCAGAACATTCTTTTTTGACAGCATTCAAATTTATTGATGGCTTGCAATCAGTAAAACAATTAACAGATTTAGAGTCCATGTCCCTAAGGGCATAGACACCATCAGGTGAGAATGGGGTCAATGTTGAAGAGTTATTAACGTTTAATGGTGAAAAATGTTGATTCTGATGAGCTTCAAAGTTATTATAATTACTTTGGTTTTCTGGAGCTGTAGATTTTTCAGGTACATTATATATTTCTGGCTTAGAATACTCACAATAATCATAATTAAAAGTTCCACATTTTCCAGAATAAGGCATGTTATGATAATTATTGGAATGAGGAAGTCTCATAGTATTGTAAGAGCTTGAAGCATTGTAATTTCCTGGAATTTTTAAAGGTACATTGTGACCTACATATCCACCAACTTGCTGACCATGATACCAGGGTAAGAACTTGTTCTGAAAATAAGGATTGTGATTTGGATCACACGGTTGTGAATTTGAATGGTAAGAATGATATGGATCATGACTGTGAGGAATATAGGTTTGAGGAACATTTGATGGGTAATAAGGCGGATATGGAGTACCATGTGTTAAAGAATGATTTACAGAAGAGCAATTGTTATTAGATGAGTAAGTATTGATACTTTGATTGCAATTTGAAGCATTTACTGATGACGTAACGTATGTGTCTGACGGTAACTTAGAACAAACAGTTGAATGGGGTGCGCTGATTATGTTACCATGCACAGATACCCCAGAGATGTTATTGGAAGCTGACGAGACATTAGAAGGAACTGGGGAAGCATATGAATTGGATATTGGAATGTTGTGGTTATTATCAAAATTACACTTTAGAGTATTCATTTGGTTAGAAGGCTGGGCCTGATTATATACACTATAATTACTATAAAAAGGATCACCACAAGTGTTAGTATGTGAAATGTGCTTTCCAGCATAAAACTTACATGCAGTTTCCTCTTTTGGTACGTGTTCAAAAGCAATCATTCTATTATTGATATCAGAAAGGTTTTTTATGAAGTTGTTTTTGCTTGTGGCACTACTATCTGGCTGAACAAAACCATCACAATGCATAGATGAGGTCAAATGGTGAGAAGGCATCAATGCCTTCTGGCGATCGTAGGGAGGATCGATTCGACGAAGCTTTCCGCTTGCTATTAGCTGTCGAAATGCAGTTTGAATTGCCTGTTTCCTGGGCGAGTAGCCATCTTTTGGTTTCCTACCTCTTGTTTTGCAAGGTTTTAAGGGGGTTGTTCGAATTCTGAAGTCGACTGGAAATTTTTGAAGGACTTCAAGGGCACCAGAAGCAATCTGGAAAAAGAAAATAAATTTTATTAAAATTTTATTTGAAAGTTAAAATTTCTTTTAAAAACATAGGGGATAAAAGAGTGAATAAAACATGCCTTTTTGTCTTGTCCTTCTTTGCTACCAAATTCATCTGTGCTATCTATCACATAAAGAGGAAGGACATGCAGTTGTTCATCTTCTGGCTTTTCCCAGCCCCTATGCTTTGTTAGAGTAACCAACTGAAAAGAAATTACAAGCACATGTTTACTACAATCTCTGTAAGAATTAAATACGCTAAATATTAGAATTAGAAAAATAAATTCATTCTGTTTCACATAATTTTACTTGGCTATGTACTAGAAACTATAGTGTCTTTAATTTCTAGAATTTATGATGGAAATTTATCATTCCAAAATGAAATTTTGCATTAAATGTATTTTCTAATAAGTATTAAATCACAAATCAATACATTTAAATAACATTCATTACAATAACAAACAAAAGAACACTTTTTTTGTTGCTACTTTTTCTCCAGTTCAACTTGTTTGTAATTTTTTCTCTCATTTCACCACTAAGGAAAATCTTTGATTATAGAACTTAAACAGTATGTCTGTTTTTGTGATGCTATTTACGTTGTTTTTATGTTGTTTAGCATTATTCATATATCGCTCTAAGTGTACTGTTTATTTAAATAGTTATTATTGACAACCTTTTTTCTATATTTTAGACATCAGAAAATGTTAAATCATGCTTTTTTAATGTAATTATGAACATATTTAAAACAGAAACTTAGAACAGTACATTATGATATTTCACACCTACAACGACTGAATAAAAAGACTTTTACACATCACCCAAATTAAGTATGGGTTTAGAAAAGTAAAAATTCTAATATGGGATTCGTTGAAAATCCAGGTTAATATAATTTGAGTTCACTATGAAATTGAATATAAGAAAAAAAATACAGCTTTTATTGAATACAAACATGAGGAAAGAAGGGGAAAATAGCTACATCTAATTATCTTACATAACATTAGAACATAACATTAGAACAATTTTAACTTTTTGATTTTAGTTGAAATTAAGCATTTAGCTTAAACATATATTTTACGCTACTATGAGAAATAAAACTACATTAAGAATTAAGTTTTAAACTATTCACGTAGAACATTCTTTTTGGATCTTTAACTCTTATTTCATTCAGAATTTTTCATCATAAATTGATTGCTTTCAACAAGTAATATGAGATATTAAACAAGTTTTTCCTAATGATTTGTCACGATTATTTTATAATATAACAGAACTACTTTATTCAAGATTATCAGACTACTTAAACCAAGATTATTCAATTACTACCATACTGAATAAAATCAATAAACTTAATTCAGATGAAAATAAAAATTTTAATTTAAAATACAATGAAACCTCAATTTCTTGAACTATTAAACCTAGATATATTATTTTAATATGAAGTGATGTCATTTCTTATTCCATTTTAGTTATCTACAAAAAATAAACAAATTAATTAAGGATTAAAAACATTAAATTTAAATCTTTATAAGCACTGGAAGCAATAATTAATTAAGTAGATCAAAGAACACTTTTCAAAACAGATCACTACATTTTACTCTTCAGTAACAATCAAAATTTTCATAAAATGAGTTGAAAGATTTAAAAAATAAGCATTTTTAATCACATAATTCATATATTAAAAGCTCTTATTAGGTATTAAAATTATTCAAATTTATACATTATTATTCAAGAAAATGCTTAAATGATAGTATAAATGTAAAATTAGAAAATAAATAAAAAATTTTAAAAGCTTAGTGGAAGGTTATTAATAATATTTTTTCCCATAATAATAAAATTTATTTTATATAATTTTAATATGCTGTTATTGAAAAAAGGTTTTTTTTCATTGCATATTCTAGAAACACAGAACATTAAATGTTTTTAAAAGTTACACTATTTTTTACCACTAAGCTCATGATTTGTGTTTGCTTAATGTTTAGAAAAACTTTTTTCTTTTTCAATACTTGTGGGGGGAAATGACAGTACACAAAGGAATGTAGCATAAGAAAATAGTATTTTGTTAGAGTAAATGAAACTCTGAATACACATAAAAATAATAACAGACAATGGTAAATTATAAAATGTTTAACTTAAATTTGATAATCAATTACAAATTCATTGTTAAAACTGGTCTAATAGTTTGCTTTATAATCGAAATGGTTTAATAGTTTTCGAAATTAATTCTTCAAAAAAATTAACAATTTGTAACTAATCTCTCTATTCTTAAATATAACACTATTTACCTAAGATTTTATAACATTGTACATTTATAAATGTTACATACAAACCACATATTATAATTACCTTTTACACATTATCCAAAAAGTAAACTTAAAAACTAAAGGTACATGGCTACAAAAGCATATGGCAAATAAATTCAGTGAATCAGCAGTGTTCAGAAATTCTTTAAGCCAAAAACACCTTTAAAAGCATAATGCTGGAATAACGAGACACCCTATGCATAACTTAAACAGCAGCAATTCCCAAAAGAAAGTTAAGAGCAAAGAAGAAAATCCAAGAAAGGAAGATAGTAAATAGCTTTTGTACATGCACATGCTGCAATAAAAAAGGAAGAGTATTGAGGTGCTGGGTTAGGGATAGTTTAACTCTAATTAGAGTTGGGAAAGAGGTCCTGGGTGCATGCTTTTGAGAATATTTTACTAACCACAGTGCATCCGTTATTCATATTTTGTAAATCTTTATGAGAGTGTGCACAGTAGTCTATACATGCTGTTACTCCTGAGAAAGGACGGCCCTTTTTGATACCTAACCGACAGTCAGAAGCCTGATCTTCAAATTCAGTCTAGAAACAAAACATATTTATTTTACATTCACCAATAGAAAAAAAGAGGCAATTTTATGGAAAGAAAAGAAATGGGCTTTTCTCCCAAGCATTTCAAAAATATTCTCTGATATTGATTCTCTAATGCAAACATCTGTTTTACCTGGTTCATTTAGTTACTTATATTTTAACATAATATTTGAAAGAGTAAGCAAACTGTGTTTATATATGTATACCTAGAGTAATATTAAAGTAGGAACAAATTTAACTTAGTATTTAGAGTATAAATTCTATCTTTTACAAAAAAGATCTTTAACGATCTAGATCATATTGACATACTTTAAAATCATGTTGAAGAATTATATGTACAAACAAATATAATTTTACACATTAATTTAATCTAACAAAAAGTACCTAAAACCATCACAAGCTAACAAGAGTAGAGGGCAAATAAGAAATTATATATTTCTAATTTTTCATGGTAACGTCTCAATATCTCACAAGATTCAAGAATTCAGTGCTTTTATCAATGTAAAAAGTCTTGACTTCATATAAAAAAGCATCTTGCCCTAAGGCAACCTTATGTATTAAGTTAAGGATCCTTTAAAACTTTGAATCCTCCCTTTTATTTTATTTATGTCTCATCACATTTGGTTTCATTCTATCTCATTACCTTAATCAGCATTATTAATAAACTTATAATCAGCATGGTAATTTTAATCAGCATTTCTGCTAATTAACAAAACAGAATACATTAAAATTTACTAATAAACTATGATAATTAATTATAATATTAATTATAATATTAATTTAAATATTTACCTGATTTTCAAAAGATTCTGGCGCCATTCTTCTATATAGTTGCGAAACATCAGTTGCTAAATTTTGAAGTTTATCTTCTAGTTCTTTTTCCTACAAGAATTACATAAAAAACAAAACTTTCATTAAAAATCATTTATTTCATTCCAAACATTTGTGTTATTATTATGATAAACACAGTAACTACATATAATTTGAATAGTTTTAATAAACACCTTATGAAAAACGTTAGCTTTCAACACTGCCTGTAACTTCTTTATATTTTATAACTTGCTTTTATAAAGTTTAGGTGCAAAAATGACGTTAGTGAAGAAATTATATTAATTACGAAATGATTACTTGCAAGTTTAAATCACTTGCATTCAAAATAATGATTAAGTAGATCTATAACCTTCCATTCATTTGAAATCATGTAGACTCTCTCTAACATATATATATATAAATATATATATATAAATACACATACNAACTTGATATATATATATATATATATATATATATATATAAAGAGAGAGAGAGAGAGAGAGAGAGATACATCTGTTTTACTAAAGTAATTTAAGGACAAATATTTTAAAGACGACTGGCATATGTTACATAAATAAGAGAGAAATTTAAAAATATTAGCTATATAGTTATACTAAAATTGTTTTGTAAAAAAAAATTCTTTAGAGATTGGAGGAACAAAAAACTTGCTTGTTATTTTCAGATAGCTTGTTGTTTATTTTCAGATAGCATTCATAACACAATTTAATCATACAGCAAAATATAATTAATATATTGAATATACTTTAATATAATTTTTACTATTACAGTTTAATCATATGACTCAATATAATGTTTAATGGTATAAGATAAGATCCAAAATCGATTGTACTACAAAAATTCAAATAACATTCAGTACTTAAAGAGAAAAAATAAAATTTATCATTAATAATTTTGCAGTCACTGGCATTTTTCAGCGTTTTAGTATTATCGAATCTCAAAAATATACATATAAAACAAAAAAAAAGTAGAACAAAAAATAAATACTTTTATTTTTACAACATTTCCCAAAAACTGGAGCTTCGGTAGCGATCAGTAGGGATTAGGTAAAGATAAACAAAATGTTTTCCACCCAAACCCTTGGACTTTACAACTAAGAATCAAAAAAAAATTTTTGGTATTTTCCAACATTAATTATTTTGACCATTTTCAAGTAAATTATAAATTAGGAAAAAAGACCAATTTAGAAAAAAATTAACGTATCAATAAATTTATTATTACTATTTCCGTAATTTAGTTTTCTTTCAAAACCCGTATTTCTTGCGACATACATATACACATTTTTATGTACATTTTTAGGTTTAGCTTATTTAATGCATCATAATTTTTCTTTTTCTTTTTTTACAAAATTTACAATTAAATTAGTTAAAACCTCCCTCTATGCAACAGTTTACAAGCAAACCATTGTTTTGTTTTGGTAAATATCTTGTTTATAATATTCCCACACAGTCTTTTCTATTTGGATCTGATGCACTTTTGAATTCTTTCAGAAGATCATCTACTTTGCGTTCTGGAATTTCAGGTGGATAAAGAAATTGAAAGAATCCCATTGTTTTTAATGTCATTAGATGGAAGATATAAGAGAGTGTTTAGTTAGACTATATTTCATGTCAAAGATACTGTTAAGGGAACATTCAATTTAAAAGGCCATTATCAACTATCTGTACAGGGCCGGATTAGCCATTAGGCCAGGCCATGGTTTAGGGCCCCCAATGATTAAGGGCCCCCTTAAAATGGATTTTTTGAAAATAAATTTTAAAAAATTAAGAAAAACAATGACTTTTTAAAATGCTATGATTATTTTTTAGTTCCAATTTAATAAAATAAAGTAAATTTTAATTTATTATTACTTATTTTAAATATGCTTTCTTAAATGAAAAGATAAATACTTTTATATTTGAATAAAAAGAAAATTTACGAGATAAAAATTTAATCTAAGGGCCCCAAAAATTTGAATGACCTAGGGCCCCGCGTACGTTTAATCCGGCCCCGTATCTGTAATACATTTCTTTATTTATTTTTGACAAGTGTTGCAAGTGAATTTGCTTACAAAGATTTTCTGCAGTGACAGTGAAAATTATTTTTAAAGATTATGTTAAAATACAAGATAGAAAAAGTTATAAATTTGTCTAATTACAATGATTTTTGCCAGAAATTTGAAAACTTTGTAATAGTTTTCAGTTTTATTAAAATTACTATAAGGTTATCATAGTATATATTTTGTCAGAAATTAACATAATATAAATTTTCTCAGCAAAGCTAATGCAAGGGGGATAGCGCATATGTTCATGAATCGAGAGCTTTGTCTCCTAATCTCCAAATAGGCTAACAAAATACTGACATAAAAATAAAAAATGAAGAAAAAGATAATATCACTTTATTTAGAAGCTTCAAGATCATTGATCTTACATTAAAAGATATATAATTCAGGACATAGATCAATTGTAATTAAGAAAAAATTAAATGAATTGATTTCTTTTTAAGTGATAATCAAAATAAGTCAATAATCAAAATATTTTTAAATAATATGTAACAAAGTAAACACATACTGTTTTTTAATACCTAGACAATATAAATTGAAGAAACAAAATTTGTAAATTACCTCATCTTTCTCAGTAAGTTTGAACTTTCGAGCATTTTTACTTCTAGCAAACTTGCAACCATTATAATACATACTCCAAGAGCAACCAAATGAAAAAGAGGCACCACAGCTTTCTGGATCTAGGCCTTGACAAGCACAAGTTCTCCTGAAAATTAAACATAAATGTTTAAATAATACCTTTGATTTAAAAGCAGTACTTAATTTAGGTTGAAGCTATATTTAGTTATTGGTTTCAAAATACTTTTATAGTTGAATTGAATAAAAAACTATAATCAGTCAAAAAAAAAACTTTAGGCATAAAAATAAACTAGTTTGAAGAAACTTATTTGATTGGACATAAATTGAATTCAAAGAATATTTAAATGTTTCTATTTATAAGAAAAAATCTCACTCTTTTAAAATCATGATATTAGTTTGCGTTAATGTAATCAACCCTGTTAAAATGTTATTAAATTTGGAAAAAATGTAAATTTAAAGGAAAGTACCAGTAAATCACATATTAAATTAATATAATTAAAAACTATGCTAAAATCTGCCTATATACAAAAGATTACAACTGGTTTGCGAACTTGTGTATCTTTCTTGTTGGATTTAAAAGAAACAAATTAATAAACTTTTTGTGCGATAAAAACAGATTACAAATCTTTCCAATTCATTCATGTCTAAGGAGTAGTATGTGACAGTTAAATAGGATTATGTAATCAAGCATATAAAATTTTAATAACTGAAAAAGCGGGTGCATCAGTGTTTATGACTGTTTTTTAGCATACTCGTTTAAGTTTGTCAGAAAAAATAGCTCATTATCTTTCAGCCTTTCTATTCTAGTAGTTAAGGCTTATAGTCAGTATTTTCTTTAAAAATAAATAAAAAATGATTATTTCTGAATTAAATAGATTATTTTCTTTTACCATTTACAGATCTTTTAAAATATTTTTATTTTAACAAAAATCTCTAAATCAAAAAGATATGTGATGATCCATAAATTAAGAAGAAAACATTCAAGTCAATAGCTGCTTCAAAAAGAATACAATGTTTGCAATAATTATAGATTAATTAAGCTCTAAAATTAAAAAGTCATACATCTCATTTGTTCCACATTTCCTCTGTGTTGGTATTCCAAAATTCACAGTCTTGTAAACAACTGTTTTGTATAACATATCAGCTACATGTTGTGAAACACCTTCCCAGGCCACCATAGCCACGATAATATAAGCTGTTCGACAGGTATGTCCTGGCCTATGCCGAATGACTGTTAGATATTTTTCTTCAGGACTAGAGCGTCTTATCACCCATTTGGCCAGGGGACATCCTTGAGATGTTTTGCCTTCTTTTCCAGAATACAACAATTTTTCTATTCGGATTGCATTTCCTTTTTCTCCAGATCTGAAAACAGAAATTTTGCTATAATCTATAAATACCTATTAAACATTAATATTAATCATTACTTATTTTTAAGAATGAAATGTTGAATGCTTATAAGTGGTTAAAAAATATTTGACACGAAAAAAGTACGATTGTACAATCGAAAAAGTACAGTATTGTAGAGAAGTACAAAGTACTTTTCCACAATAATGTCATTCTACATGGAGATTGCAGAAAGCTGAATTTCAAAAAGCATGCATAAAATTTTTTTTGAACAATTATGTATTTTTATAAGCACAAACATTTAAAAAAAAAAAAAATCTGAAATGGCTTAAGTAAATAAAAAAAAAGCAATATTTATGGGTTTTTTGAAAAAGTCATTTTTTATCTCATGCAGTTTTAGATTGATTTAAAAATAAAGGATGTAATGAGTTAACATTTTTATAATGAAATATAAAAACATGTTATTAAGAATTAAAGCATAGTTTTTTTTTTTTGCTGTACAAATTATAAGCACATAGATAAAAATAAAAAAAAGGTGAACACGGTAAAAACAGACTAATTTATGCAAAATACATAGCGATTAAAAAAAGCTGCTCATAAAACAGAATTATAAATATATACATGTATAAATATAAATTTTATTGCTGCATGTATGCATATATGTATGAATGTGAATTTTATTGCTGTATTAAATTTTAATGAAAATGTTTTTTTTAATAAAATTTGCCACTTCAAAAAACAGAATGAGCACAAAAATTATACCTGCATTCAATAAGTTCTCTAATAGCAGAAACAGAAGAACCACTTCCTAAGTGTGTATAATATGGAAGTTTTTCAGATGGTAATACTGAAATGAAAATAGTTACTCATTTATATATCTGGTTGTCATATAGCAATAAAAATTATTACTTGGTTTATATTTCTACTAACACATGAGAAAATTTAAAATGATTCATCAAAAAATCAATTAATATTTTTGACACATGTTTTGACATAATTAGAAAAAGTTCTCACTGGATATCATTAATAATTTACATTTATTATAACATTTATTTAACTGCAAAAATTTGAGTTAAATAGATTTATCTTAATTAAGGCTGCTTTTTGAATGCTCTGTAGTTGTATGAATTGATGCATTTTTGCAAATAATAAGCTATTTTTATAACTGAAGTGAGTTTGCAACAGTTACTCAGGACCGTTAGGTCAAGTTTAGCCTGTCTTTAGCTAGCGATCTCTGTTTATTTTGAAACTGGCACAAAACATCAATACGGAGAAAAGCCACAGTTCTGTGAAGAAAAAAAGTGTTTATGGTATCATTTTTTAATATACTAAAACTTAATCCAATGCTGCATTATCCTGGTTCATAAAAATTTGCAAAAAAGGGGAATCAGGCATTGATTTTAAAAAATTTCATCTGGGAGAAAAAATGTCGCCAAATTGGCAATTTTGAGAGAAAGTTGAATAAATTTTAAAATATTTTAGTTATTTGCATTTTCTAAAGCCCAGATATTTCTTCGCAGCAAGATGGCATAGACAGTTTAAAATTATAATTTTGCTTCTTGTGTAAGAAACTTAAACTGTGGCTTTTTTACTTTCCTTGGTGGAAGAACTTAAAAAAACCTTTTTAATACACTGATAACATTTTAAGTGTTAAATAATTTTTTTAAATACAGACTTAAACATATTGAATTCTATGAAGGATATTTGCTTAAAACCAAGTAGTTCAAAAAGCAACATTAAATCAAATTTGATTAAATTAATTCAAGGTGCTAGATGTGTAGATTAAAACGAATAATTATTTCAATAAAAATTACATTTATAACATCAGAGCATATCTTTTGTTTACAATAACAACCCTCTGCCTATAAGATTAAAAAAATATATATAATAACATTAGAAAAATATTCTATTAAATCTAAGTATATTCATTGCAAGACAACAAATCAATTTTGTAAACCACAAACTTATAAAAATTATTTCTAGTTATATCATTAAAATATGAAACGAAACAGGCAAAATTATTCTCAAAACAATTATCATAATACTAAAATAAAATTAAAAAAACTAAAAAACAGTATGTTAAAATTTTCAAGTAAAGAGTAAGCAGAAAAAAGTAAAGAGAAGCTACAGTTTGATGTTAAGCACATGATTAATAGCATAATTGAAAATACCATTGCTGATCTAGAAATACTGTAAGGAGTACAAGTGTATTTAATATTATCATTAGTTAAATTCTAAACATATATAAAAATTTTCATATTTTTTATAGAAGATGTAAAGAAAATATAGCAAAGTAGAAACATAAGAAGCCATGTAAAACAACATAGACTAAACATAACCCAACAAACAGTAAAATTTTAACTAAAGACAAATTAAATCTTCCATCATTCTTCAGTAAATCATGGTATTGCTATAAGCAAACCAATAAGTGGTCAATAGTCATTTAATCAAAAATCTAGCATACAAAAACAAACATATTGGTGTACAGTGCGCAAAATAAAAAACAGATTTTCACATTTTAGTACTTAATCTTAAAGGTTTGAGGGGCTGATCTCAATTGCTAATTAATTAATGCAGACGCTATTTTAAGTTACGAAATCAGGCACAAAAACGTATTTTTTCGTAATAAACATACCTTTTTTCGACGGATACAAATTTCTAACTCCAAAAATATGGGGGGTAGTCGCAATCTGCAAAATATGATCCCCATAGTTTGGTCGGGAGAGTGGTCAAAGTTTGGACACCGTAATGATAATTTTATGCTTTGCATATTTCACTATAACCAGAACTTTTTAAGTGAATTGAAAAATTTTTGCACACAACTATAAAATACGTTTACCCAAAGAAATTTAACATTTAGTAAGTATTTATTGCTTTTTATTATTTTATTTAATTAATAACAGTCGAAAAAATTTAAAATTGAAAGGCATAAAAAATTTTATATCATTCTAAAAGATGTAATTTTACGTATCAAAATATAAATTTTGAGCGACATGGGTCAAATAGTTCTGAAAAATCAAACTTAAAAAATATTCTTTCTTTAAAATTAAATTTCTCAGGAACCATTCAACTAATTTTGTTAAAATTTTGTACTTCACCATGCAAAATTTATACTCTTTAAAATTAAGTAAAAAATTGTGTACTGTACAATTCAAAATTTTTTGGACCATCAGTGGCCCCCATCCCCCCCAAGCACTTGGGCGCATTCTAGGGTAAATTCTAAATCCCCCCCCCAAGCTATTCATTTTATTTAGTGTAAAAATTCCCCCCCCCAAGCTTTAGGTGGACGCACGATGCGCCCACCTAAAGCCACTATGGGGCCCCTGTCGACCATTATTAAATAAAATAGTGAAGTAACCCTTTTGAATCATTAATATTGAGACCAAGAACGTGAATATTCGATCATTAGATAAAAAAAATGGTCCATTTTTTATTTTGCAGACTGTACATAAACATTATTTCATTACATATTATAGTACAAGTTAAATGAGACTTGAGGAAACTAATATTTTAATTTAACTAAACATCATTACTAAGATTTGTTTCATCTATGTAAATCTAAAAATTAAAATGAATATGAAATACTCAAAACATAGAATAAAATTGAATAACTTTAAAATGCATCGAGACGTAATTCTATTCTAAAAACACAATACTTAGTACCATCATTCTTCAAAATTAAAAGATTACGAGAAATACTAACTCAAAATTTTAAATTATTTACAACAATATTCACTTTTGTACCAAGCAGCTTACCATCTTTGTTCTTTAAGCAATCACACTGGGGTGGCTCGATTTTTGCATTAGTTCTTAATTTTTCCAATCGATCAATAGAATCTAATTCTTGATTTTCAAACCCAGATGCCACAGGAGTTGAGCAATTACTGCCAGGATGACTTTTTACTGCATAGTTGGAATAGTTATTTAAAAAAGGAGGTACAGAGTTTGGTATATGGGGGAGGTCTTGATGTCCATAATTGTGAGGGGTGTCCAATTGGGTGAACGAGTCCTGGATACGACCACTATCTATGTATGACTTGGAAGTGCCTCCCCCTTTTGGAAGCATAGTGATATTATCAGAATAATTTAAATGTGATTGCTGTAGTTGCTGACTATTGTAGTAAGAGTTAGAGCTGGCATATGTTTGAGCGCTATTGCTCCCACTAGTTAACGCGAAAGTAGGCATACAAGTTGCATTAGAAAAAGATAGTTTAGAATTATATGTACTGGTAATATTTGTATATGTATTCATAGATGTGGTCGTATTCCATAAAAAATGAGGCTGATTGGACTCATCACAGTTCGTTTCATTTGACACAGGATTAGGAATCATAGACATGCCACTGTGTGGCATACCACCATTGATGGAAGAATGTGGCACAATACTTGGCGCAGGAGGTATAGACGGCGGTGGCATGCATCCTTGTGGTAAAGGAACATTGGATGCTAATGTCTGATGTGGTGCAAGGTGCCTGTATGCATATGGAGGAGGCACAAAACTAGAATTGGGTACAGGATACCTTGGAATACTGGTAGGAGACTGTGGAGGAGGTAACATGCCCCTTTCAGCAGGATTATCACAATTTGCAGGGACTTTATTTTCTTGAACAGGTCCAGTGTTAGATGTTTTATCAGTTTCTATATTGATATTATCAGAGCTGTTCTGCCTATCCACTTTCTCACTGCTAGTATCTAAGGCACAATTATTACTGGGAGTGTCATCATCTGGTTTTTTAACTTTAATGTCATTTACTACAGTATTTCCATCATTGGCAGCAACCTCAGAAGTCACATCTGCAACTCCATTTTGTGATGGTTTTACAGGGGACTTCTGCACTAATGGTGAGGTGCTTTCAGGTGTTTTAGAAGTGTTCCTGGAGGGAGTTTCGGGCCAAGGAACATTCTGATTATTTGGTATAGCAGGTTTAGATGGTTCAATAGAATTTGGTGACAACTGCTGCAAATGCATTAGAGATGATGAACTATCTGAAGTTCCTGTGTATGGCAAGGAGTTTTGCAATGGCTCCTGATGATTAAGAGGAGGTAGGTATGGTGATGTAAAGGAAGGCTGTTGATTCACAGGAGACAGAGGAACAGGAGAATTAAAAGATGAATCATGTACAGGATTAGATATAGGAATCAACTGGCCTTGATCTCTTTGATTTTGTCGATTATGAATCAAATTTTTTAGACGGTTATTGGTCATACGGTGGGTTGTACTTGTACCATCAATTTCCATTAAGCCATCGATACTACCAGCAACTCGGTTTTCAAACATAGGCTGTTGTGGATGACCCTGCAGTGGCACTTGTGGTGTATAGGATCCATAAGATGCATTTGAATTATAATTATTTAACATGCCTGGAGGTTGATAATTATTACCACCTTGAGGCTGGTATTGATCCATGTAATTGCGGGCCTACAAACAGATAGAATTAATTAGATTTTAATATTCTTACAATATAAAACTGTAATTATATTATTCAAATATCAAATATATATTTAAAATGAAAAACTATGAATCACAATTTTGAAATATAAAAAATCCTACTTTACTTTATAGTTGCTTTTTAAGATAACTAAGTATAATGTCATTAGGTAAACTTAAGTCTAATTTATACTGGGTAATTGCAAAACTTTGCGCCAATTTCAATTTCATAATAAAAAAAATATAATATAATATATTGATATGTGTGCAGTGAAATTGAAAACAAATGTGATCAAGAATTAGGGATTAACAAATAGAGAATTGGGATTTTGAATATTGGGGGGGNTTGGGGGGGGGGGGGGGAACGGCCGAATATTCAACAGCTGAATAGTGACAAAAAAATTATTAATAAGTATCATCTTTTTACATATAAATAAGTTTAGTTATTATTGAAAAATAATAAAAACTTAGCTGTATTATAGGTACGGGGTAAAGGGGAAAAAAAACTTGAATAGAAATGTTTAAGATAATAAAGATAATTAGATATTAAAATAATTACAAATATTTGACACTGAAAAAAACTAAAGTTGTTAAGTTGAAGAAAAAAAAGAAATGGAAAAAAATATTCTCTTAAATCTTAAAACACAACTTTAATGCTAAAAATAATATTTTCGGACAAAAAAATTATCCTTAAAACGTTAAAAAGGGTAATATCTATGAGAAATGCTTTTAAAAATGCAGCTCTATCATAGAAACACGTATAAAATACAAAGGTTATATAGAAAAGCAAAACATTTAATTCCATTTAATATAAAAAATTTAATATATCCAGTGACTTAATACAAAACCAAATACTGCTAAATTTTAAAAAATTAAGTGGTATTTAAGATACTATTAAAAACAATCTTTTATTTTCTTCTTCTTTATTTGTTCTCCCGATTAAAAGTGAGGTCATTTTCAACCAATTCCATAATAATTTGGAAAACATGACTTATTTTTGCATTATATTAACATTTTCTTATGAATTAAATGTAAATCAATTCTTGAGAGTCAGTTTCAAAATATTTTATTGATTTAAATTTGCAATATTAATATTTTGTAAAAATTTGTAGTAAAATCAGAAAATTTAATTTTCATTTACTTGTTTCCAATAAAATTTTCAGTTGGTGTAACTACATTAAACAATAAATTAATATAATACAAAAAATTTTTACTAAAAACAAAGACTAGAATATTTGTTTTAAATTAAGAAAAGTTTTCTCCACTCAAAATATGAATTCTTTTCAAACTATCCTTTTTAAAGTTATTTTTTTGAAAAGTAATAATAAAATATAGTACATATCATTCGTTTTTTTGTATCTTAATAAAAATGTTTAGGCATAATGTAAATACATTAATAATTAATGATTTTATAAAATCAAACAAAATGGATACATTTTTTCAATGGCTTAAAGAAAAGATATTGATAAAAAGAACAACAATAAGAGAACATTTGAAGATTTTTTTTTTAATATAGATTAATTTAAAAGAGTAAAAATAAATAGTTAAATAAAAAATGTAATATAAAATTAAATTAGGAAAAAAATTTAAGCAAAGAGCGAAAGTGTGAACTAATAGTATTTAAAAACAAAAATAACGCATGAATGAAGATCATAATATTGTGTAGTGGCAAGTTGCCAAATCACAGAATAAGGGTTAAAGGAAGTATGAAGAGATTACGGATTCAATGAGATCTGCGAATAACATCACCTCGCCATGACTGGTTGAACATACATAAACAAAAGCACATGTTTGTTTCATTTTACTACACGTGTTAAAATGATAACTACACAGGTTTAAATTAAACTTCATTATATTTTTTGAACAGCTTTTTATAATAAAATCAAGAAAAACATTTTACCACCTAAGTAAAAAACTTATTTAAATATGCTTTTTTATTCTCAGCTTATGTATGTTAAATTTTTATGTATAACCAACGTGAACTGATTTTTTTTTCTTTCAACAGATAGAGAAGTTATTGTTTTAAGATTTTAAGTTTGCCTTTATATATGAATAATAGAAAAAATTAAGATTAAATTTACTATTTTCCAATGCATTTTTTTAAACATATTTTGTATTGTATTTACTTATATTTTGTATTAATACTTCTTCATTCACAATTGCAATTTACCTAGTTACTACAATTAAAATTATGATCAAATGAGTATTTCTTACAAGATATAATATGTCAAAAACGCCATAACATAAAATAAACTATTTCAGATGTTTATGCTTTTTTGTTTCAGAATAAATGATTTTAATGATTTTGCCTATACCAAATTTTAAATAAATGGCACCATTAATTTGAAATAAATTTTGGCACATTTATTTGAAATAAATTTAAGTTAAACATATTCAGATAGTTAAAAAGGTAATAAGATTAAAATTATGTCAAACCTTTCACCGAATGAAAATAATTATTCTCTTCAAAATACATTTATGATATTAAGTTAACATAGGTAAAATATAAAAAAATATGAGGCAAATTAGTTATCATAAATTCACTTAATAATTTTAAAAAAAATTTAAATATTAGAATAAAATTTTCAATAAAAACTTACTCCTTGGTTTCCTAAATGCATAGTTGTATTAGAAGGGGATTGACTATCAGATTGACTAAGATAGGTCTGAGGACCACCATTAATTTTCCCACTAATATCTCCAGTTGAGTTTCTTAAGTTTTCACTGCTTTCTTTTAATAATTCTCTGTCTTTATCTCCTCTGCCCCTTCTTCCAGATTTCAAAGCTTCTTCAGCAGCCTGTAAATAAAATCACAAAAAACTTTTAGCACAATTACTTAAAATTCTAAATAACATAGTTAATTACATATATACCTATAATTAATTATATATATATGTAATTAATTATAGGCATATATAAATGATTAATATTATATATATATATACCTATAGTTAATTATATATGTATAATACCTATAATTCCATATAGTAAATAAATTTCAATATATGTAAATAAAGTTTTAAATTTTTATAAATCTGAAAATTATTGAATTACTTGTGCTACTTGTTGAAAATGCAATCAACTTTGATATTTACTAAACTACCAGCTACAAATTCTTGAAAATACCAAATAAATTTGAAATTTATTAAATTACCAGTAGGTACTAGATGTTAAACATTAACTACAATTTGGAAAATTATAAAATCTCTGATCTTATAATTTTTAAAAAATACCATCAAATTTAAAGCTTATTAAATTTCTAACAAAACTCGAGATATAATAAGCCATTTAAGATAATATATAAATTCGTGCATTAAACAAATTATTGCACCTCATATTTTATGCATAAAGTATGAGATAAAAGTAGAGAAGATTAAAAATTGTGATGATATTTAGTTATTGTATACAGATATGGTCTATATATATAGACTAATATGCTTTAAAATAAAAATTAAACTTAAGCTCATTAAATAATGTGTACTAAAATATTTAAGCTTTAATCGGCAAGGAGAATATTTTTTTTTCCATTCATCTAAATAAAAAGACAAGTTTGCCCACTGCACTTCAAATTGTGACACTAGCCTAATTATAATTTAGAATATTGAATTTAAAATGCAATATGTAATTAATGTAAAGTCAACTATTTTTTTTATGTTAGTACTTACTCATTCCACTAGCAATCTTGGAACAAAAATCAAATTCAAAATCATGAAGACTATGCAAAAATTACTTGCAAGAAATAAGTTTAAATAATACTCAATGCCTCAATAAGAGTCTCAAAAAATCTCAAATTCTAAATTTTCTAATCGGAAACAAATTATTAATAAGTTTTCTTTTTTTTTTTTCAAATTAAACTAATGAAATAATATAACACAATGCTTATTATAAACAAGGAAGTTTGCAAAACCAATTACACAAATTTTTTATGCTTTAACCCAATAACACAAATAAATGCGAATAAATTTACTTCTTAACATAAAATAAAATAATAAATAGGAAAGAAAAATACATCAATAGCCAAACCCCACCCCCTACCATGAAATTCTGGGACATGTGCGCAGACGCAGTAAGAATGTTTATAAAAACCACACACACACAACAGAAAGAGGAAGTTCTAATCCAAAATATACTCACTATTACTACACATTCACTCCAGAAAAACTGATCAGAAACCACACCAAAAACTTTCACGTAGTATCCGATCATTCACAAACAACAATAAACGAACAATTTCGATAAACCAAGCTACGACGGAACACGAGACTTATTTTTTGTCATCTCCGAAAACCGCTCAAACTTGACAAAGATTCCCGTCCAAAAATAAATAATATTTTTTTCTTTATTTTTGCTTTTTTTTCAGCTTCTTCTTAACGGTGTTGTATGCTGAAGGTGTATAGCTTATTAAGATGAGGCACTTAAGGCCAAGATATGAGCTAATATGTGTTTATCAATTGATGAAGACACCAATCGAAACAGGAGGGGGTACTCCAAGACTTTATTCCACAAAAGCAATCAATAATTTGGGTGTTGGAGGAGGTGTGTGTGTGTGATGCGTGTTGTACTGGGAAAAGAGAGATTTTTCATTGCAGGTTATGGAGGGAAAATGGTGGCATGCGCTCTCGCTGCAGCCTAGAAAACGGCTCGTTCTCTAATCAGAGAGCTAGGAGGGGGTCGACCTCTCATTTAGTTGAGGAAAGCAAATTTCATCGGCTGTTCCGATTTTCACCACCTGTTGCACCCAATATTGATTTCAGATACGAATAATGCTCTTGGAGATGGTTGACTGACCAATCATATTTCCAGTTTTGAGAAACAATAACTCAAATTGTGTTTTGTTAATTGCGAATGTTTTCCGAGAAATATTCATTTAGCTTTACTGATATTTTTATTTCATTAGTTTATTTAGTTGGGTGATTACAGGGATTTTAGTTATTACAGGGTGATCGGAAAAAAATAGGAAATTTTTTAATTTGTGGCAAATAAACGGACGAAATATATATGTTTTTTTTAAAAATAAATAAATAAATAAACTAAAATTCAAGCAAGCAGTATGTCATTTCATAAAAAATGTCACAAACTGTCTCATTATTCTTTAAATGACATAGGAAAGATGACCCATAATTCTCAAAGATGACATCTTTCCAATGTCATCTTTGAGGTGCTTCATTTGGTGACATTTCGTAACGTAAATATAAATGGCACACTATACACACACTTTCGTCAATAAAAAATATGTTTATTTGCCTCCATGTAAATGAGATTCTTTATAAAATCTTGCCTTGTATTTTAGGTGTACAATACAAAAAAGAATAAATAAATGAAGGAATGCCCTTAAATAATTGAGTATCTAAAACTGTTATTTTGAGTACAATCTAAAAATGTTACTTTTCGTTTATGATGATACTTATAAAAACGATAACAAAAGACATTTAAAAGTAAAATTTAAATTTTATTTTAAAAAATTATTTATTTTTCTATTATAATTATTATCAAATTATTGAATTCTCATTTTTTTAAAGTCACAATTCATAGAATTTTTTTTTTAAAGAATTGAAGTGCAGAAGTTTCTTCGAATTTTTTTTATACGTCGTGCGACTGTTAAAGAAATTTAAATTTATTAACTCTAAGTCTAATTAAAGATTTTCCTTGTAACTTGCGCACAAATTATGAAATTTTGCATTAATAAAAAGTTCGTTACGAATGGTTTATTTCATATGAGTCTCTCCGACAGAAAGGTCAAATGTATTCTAATAAGAAATCATTATTAAAAATACATGCATGCATTTATAGAGATATACTATTTATTTACTATTATTTTTACTCCTCTTTATCTCTTAAAGTTAAAAAGGAATATTTTGAATGGGAGGGAATAAAAAGATTAATTGCGATTAACCCATATAGCCTTAATCATCACAATTTTTCAATAATATTTTATGTAAACGAATATTAAATGTCATGAAATTAACTGTATGTAATATTACTAAAAACACGACTAAAATTTTTTTTTATTTTAAAAAGAGGAAAATATTGTGAAAATTGGAAACACTATACAAATCTTAAAAAATATCATAATTAAAATTTACATAAGATCTATTGAAAAACATGATCTTAAAATGGGCTATGAGGTCCTTTGAGTATCACTCCTAAAAAGGGACTGTGAGGACTAACGAGTTGAAAAGGGGCAATATCTCTCTCTTAATTCAACCATAATATCAAAAACGAGCTATGAGGATTTTTATTTATACTTAAGACTTACAAATCCTACCTATAAAAAAAGAATTTTCTACTAAATAGTTCATCCCTCACGTGAGAATGTTTACAATCAAGGTCACTGTAAACGCTGGATGACGATTGCTATTGGCTTCTCGTAGAATTTAAGACTATCTTCAATCACGTTTTTTTCTTATCAGAAAAATAAAAGACCAAGGTACAAAAATTATAATATAAGAATTGTTTTGCTGGAAAATAATGATGCAACAAATTCGGTAGTGCTTACTATTTGATCAAAAATTTATAGCGAAATGTTGGTTAAAACTACTGTTATAGATTCCCTAACTTTATTTTCTAATTTTCAATATTTTTTAGGTATCTACACATAAAAAAATATTAAAAATAAAATAAACATTTATTCCATATTAGATTTTCAGATTGCATCATTTAAGTAAAAAATGTTTAAATAATTTGAATAATACTGCTATGATTTAAGGCAGGGGATTTATAAAAAAATATTATAATAATAAAAGTACTTTTTGTATCTAAAAAATAACAATATGAATTAATACCATTAGTGAATATGCAACGCGTGAAACGTCTAAGACTTACTTTTTTCTTTCCAAATTTTTTTCCCGTAGTAATTATTTGTTTATTGCTTTCTAGCAGACTATAATAGAACTTTTGATTACTTTTACAATGGAACTATAGCTAAATGCATTCCTATAATTAATTATAATGAAAATTTTATTTAAATGCATTACTATAAGTTGGAAAAAAGTTAGAAAGTTAGCATTACTATAAGTTGGAAAAAAGTTAGAAAGAAATTGGTGTAAGTGTAAAAGTAGTAAACTTAAAATTTATTAATAAACTATTTGTTCAGGTGTTTTTTTTTTTNTTTTTTTTTTTTTTTTTTTTTTTTTTTTTTTTTTTTTTTTTTTAAGGAAATAAATAAGGCGTAGAGGATATCAAATTTTGTATGCTTTTTAATTCCAAGATAATTCCAAGATATATTCAATGAATATTTGTAAAATAAGTAAATAATCTAGAAAATTCATTTTCTACAATCAAATCATGCTACAAGTAGAAAAAAATTCCACGAGTTGTGCAAGAATGACAACAAGCACATAAAACACATAGCAAATTTTCTGCGCTTTACGTCCTTCTCACCGAAGTTATCGCCAATTTTCATCGCCTGTCGCCGAGTCGTAAAACAGCCTAAAGCACAAATAGTTGTCATTAGGGTAATTAAGTCTCTCGTAATAACGCATAAAACCTAAATTGTGGATGAAATTTTAACCAAATTTAATATATATGTCCATCCCCCAAACATATTTCAGGAAGCTAAATTTATATCCGCTGTAAGGAAATGGTAATTAAAGGTTCGGAGAAAAATATTTCCTTTTGTCAAAAAACAATTCACATAACAAATACAATGCAAACAAATTTTACATCATGCAATTAAAAAATTCTGGTAGTCGTATACTTAAATAATAACATGGAATGTATGTGTTGCTATTTTTAAACATAAATTATCGTAAATGCAAAGCATATAAACGTCATTAATTATAATTTTTGAAATTAAGCA